AGTCGATGTCCAAGTTTTAAGAAGTAGCCAAAAAACCATAGAGGATTTCTGATGATAGTATCTATCTCTTTCCGGTAGTATAAGGTAGGTACTAAGGTAGGTAAAGCTAGGTAGATGTCTTAAGCAGTTGTAGGAGGTCGGACCCTAACGAATGAGCAGCACCTGAATGTTTGTTGTGGAGGTGAGTAACACTACCACCAATCAACAGGACCCTACCTGGTAGTGGGGCTGCATAACAGTCACGCGGTAAACTACTCCTTGTACCCTTACATACTCCATACATCCATGGGTAAGGTAAAGGTGCCTTACAGAGGAGGAGGAGGTTTGACTTTCAGCCGAGTTGTGCATTGGGAGACAGTCAGTCTGACTCTGGACAGAATCAACTACAAGAGGAAATGGTAAGGTACGATATCAATGATCAGCACAGTTGAATATCATCCTTCAAACGTCAAATTTAGGCAAAGAAGTAATGCTCATTTATCAGATGAATCCGACCTTCATGGCCATATCATTCTGTTGATCAGAGAAGAGAATTAACAACTGGCAAGAAGCATCTCCATAGATCATCCAATATCCATAAACCCATAAATGTATAATCGCACCTTCAGCAATCAGCAGGTCACAAGCCACCTTCATGGACGGGGGATAACGCATGCGACCCAGCGCTGATAGCCTGATGCGGGGGGTTGAGGAACATATTCAACTGGTTTGTTGGGTTTAAGCGCTCGGCCGGATGAACACTCTCACAAGTTGCAAAGTTGCATACCACTGATACCAGGGCTATCGACCAAGGTAGGTATGTTAATAATATGTTACCATTTTCCATCAATCCATATTTACTCTATACAGTGTTTACAGTTCATGATACATCTCATGTTGTAAAATGGTGAGTTATGATTGTCCACTCACTCCAGGTGAACTGGATGCAATATGCCTACCTGAGGTATCTGACTCGACGCCAAAGAGTCTTCAACATATCTTATATTTTTATTTCGCTCTAATATTGGTCGTTGTTTGATAATTTGAGTGCGAGTCCCTCATTATTATTACCGTACAAATTACGGAGTACGCACCCCCTCAAGCCAAGTCAAGCAGACCCATTGGGCTATTTAACCCTCAAGCAGCGGAAAGCATCCGGTTCCAATCATGCAGAGCAGCAGAACGTCCTTTTGCACTTTTGCCAATTGCCAGGCTTTTAAATGCTTTAGATACTGGCACGAAACCTTAGCCCCGAAGAATGTGTCGAACTTGATTGTTTGAGATCCGTTTTGAACTTCTCTGATTGGATTGAGTGATATCACTACCTTACTCCTCTGAAATTCTTCCCTCGACTGATGACTCGAGTTCACTGTCCGAGTCAAACTAGGATCCATCACTGTTGTAATTTGTGTCCTCCAAAGCGCTAAATCAAACGGGATACATTCACGGACATGCTTTACAGTACAATGACGTGATTTGCCGTCATGGTGCCGATAGTTGCTTTAAAAAGGTGAGCTATGGGTGAACTTTCTCAGCGGCAACTTCAGCCCACCGCAAGGGGGCAAAGTACACTTATTTAGTACTAGTCAGCTTCCAGTAAATGGAACAGTTGAAGAAAATTCTCTTTGCCTTCCCGAAAAGAAATCTTTCGCTTCGCCGGGGATTTAGTAGTCTTGTTGCTTTTTCTTGTTCTCTTGTTCCCCATATTTGTTTTTTCTATTTGATCTTTCTTGTTCTTTGCTGATCAATGATAAGAAAGAGACCAGGCACACGCTGCTGCTTTGTCGGCCCACCCCAGCGGTTGAGATGGGGGTTCACCTTCTTGTACCGTTCCTTTCGCGCTGGTGCCGCTGTATCTGAGTTGGAAGGCAATAAAAGATGTTGTCAGTACGGAGCATTATTAGTACTACTACCTTAGTAGTATGACAAAGGATCGATATTACAAGCTCCATCTGGACGTCCAATCCGAATGTCAGATTTCAAATTTCAATCAGCGACACCTATAGTTGTTGGGTAGAGTCGTGATACCTACACGGCCGAAGGATGATTATTTGGTTTTATGATACCCTCAAGTGGATACAATCATTGCTGTTTATTCATCTTTACTATTATCCATTCCTACACAAACACACTTAGGATATATAGAGAAAATAATAATGATGATAGTTTATGTAAACATATATCCTCCAACTAAGTGTAGATGTTCGATCTGAGTGGAGCGAATGCTTCCGACATGATCGGCGTCCTGTACATCCCTGCCGGTTTCACCCCTCCTACGTAGGCGCAGCCATGGATCCGTCAGAAAAATTGTCGAACCCACGGGAATGGATCATCCTTCTTTCTCTCAAACGGTTGTGATTTGGTAGAACATCACTTGTCATCCTAACTCGGTAAACGAAAAACCTCACCTCACCGTCTTGATTTGTCCGCCGAATGAGCGGTCATCCATGATTGAACACGATGCTGTACAGTCAAACTGCAGAATAGCACAGTGTCGATGTTGTGAACTCCAGTAGAATGCTCGGATTGCCTTGGTCCTCATGCCCATAACTCAGAGCTTGCCACTGTTCTTCGAATCGCTCATTCTTATTATTGAGCATACTTTTCACAGACCAGGGTACATCTGACATTGACAATATCTTGCCGTGACTCGATCGTCATTGCATGACCATGTCCCTCGAGGGCCTCATAGGCTCGTAGGCTGTAGCAGTGGAATAAGGAGTTACTAGTCTCACTCCGCTGAGGGCTGCGATGTCTATCTAACATTCCAATTCTTCCCCGGTCTCTCATCTCGGCTACAGTGGCAATATGACTCTGTTACCCGAAGTTAGGGAGGCCTACGGATGATCTAATGATCTACTCCGTACTAGTACTGTAGTCATCACAGATCATCTTTTGTGAAAACTTTCTGTCATATTGATGGCCATTGAGATAATATTTCAGCACGTCAATTCGTGTTCCCTGATATACGTGGTCATCTAGTCGATATACATCTTCATGGCATGTATCTGCGTCATTTTCCCATCAAGAGGATACCGGTGTTGGACTGTGAGGATCATCCTCATTCATCCTCATTCCTCCGAGAGCCAACCCAACCTCTTCAGTAGTGGTGCAAGACTGCAAGTAGATACGGAATTGTAGTCATTGCGCCCCTTCTTTACCTCTAGGGGGGGTAGACTAGGTGAATGCTAACCGGTCTGGCACTAAGGGGACTGGATATTCGGAGAGTGAGTGACCATTGACCAAGCTGTTTTGCTGGGAAAACCTACTAAAACCAGACTAAACGAGACTAAATCGAATAGAATGGTTTTTAGATGCAAAAAGAGGAACCACTAAGACCAGCCGCCCCTGCTAAACCCACTCGAACCACACCAAAACTGGGGCCTCTCTTCACCGAAATTCCAACTGCCCTTGACCCTGTATCCGTATGCGCGTATGACCATGACGGACTCACTAGGGTACCTCCCTTTAGCGGTATCAATTCCGTGGGTCTAACGATAAGAGGAATGCTAAAATCAAGTGGCGGCCACGAGTCTTCCAGCCACTAACCTTATCTAGTAGGCACTTGTAACTAACAAATCTACTAATACCAAATTTAATTACTCCTTTCTGCCAAAAGTACAACTCCTTGGGTACGGTACTCCATAGGTACAGACCAGAGTACTGTATCTAAGGTACCTACCTTAAGGAAATGTGTACGTACATACTACGTAGGTAGTTGGCTATCCATAGTGTAGTGCAGGCACTCAAGTGAGAATATTATTTATATTATTCTTACCTGCATTTTTAAAATCATTATTTTATCTTATTAATTTTATTATTATTCTAATTATCATCATCATCATCATCATTTTATTCATTAGTATTACCATTTACCAGCACCATCTTTACCTAGCTAGCCACCATAACTTCTTCCTCCTCCTCAAGACTGAGCCGTAATAATAATTTAATATGACTCTGATGAACACTACTACTACAAACCATTAACTAGCTTCCACTACGGAGTACCTCCTCCTACTCACCAAGTAGATAGTCTACCAGACAACTCACTACTATCTACCACCTGCCAACTATTACTCCTAACTACTCCATACCTAGAATACTGTCAATCATTTTGATTCTTTCTTCTTCTCTTTCTCTCCCCTCTCCTCTTCTTACTGTACTCCCCCCCCGCCGTCTTCCTATTATTTACTCTGAACCGATTTTTCTCTTCCTTTTCCTCAGATTAACTCTCCGGAGTTGTTGTTTTCGACTTTCCCGCCAACGTACTTCACATAGTCGGTCTTCCCGTCCACTTTTCTTTCACCTCCTATCCGCCCGTTTTCGGACTGCGACCGGTCCCCATTTCCACAAGCGCTTCGAAAACGCATCAAAAACTGGGAACAGACTGAGAGAGAAAGAGGAGGCATTGCTGGATTGACCATCGACTCAGAGAACAACACTCTGGATTCCTTCTGTCCCGAGTTTCGGTAGCTCGACATCTTTCGCTTACCCGATAACACCCTCCCGAAACTCTCCCTGTCCTTTTCTCCTGACTCGTTCCTGGGGTCACAGCTCTCCTATTTTCAGCGTCTTTTCCTCTTTTTTTCAGCATTGGACTTTCTCACTTCTCAATCTGGTTACTATCGAGATTTCCGAAGCTCATCGCTACTATTCTCGGAGAGACATTTGCTCACACCTCCTGGGTTCCCGACAACTACCTCGAGCGACGAACACAGATTTTATCTGAGTAAATCGCTGGAGGTAGTAACAAATATCGGTTTTCACACTGATCGTACTGGTGAAATATTTTTCTTTTTACGCAGGAAAATTGAATGGTTGAGAAAGGTGAACCTTAACGGCCATTCTACGCGAATCATCAGTTTGCTTTTTCCTTGGGAAGCCACCATCAACCACGGCGAAACCGTTTAAAGTCAACCACCGCCCACCATTACCGAAGAACCATGGCGTCTACATCGGATGTACACGGGTCCTCTCCTGTTCCAACACTACCCCAACCCCATGATAACGGTCGCGTACATATGTCCTCCCTCTCTTCCTCCTCTTCCATATCCGACGCAGAAAGTGAACGAAGGGGCCGTTCTGAACGCCCTCGAATGGCCAGTCGAAAGCCGAGTGCCTCAATTCTAGTGCCTCGCGATCATCCAGAAATTGAAATCGAAGAGGAAGAATTTCCGCCCGACGACGCTCGAGCCATGAGTCCGCGTCGCAATTCTGCTGATTTGGAGCGCTTGGGCAAGGAGGCAAGACAGACTTTGCAGGAGTGAGTTTTCCGATACAACACCACCTACCGTGATAATAGTACCGTGCTAATCTTCGCTCAATAATCTAGACAAGCAAAGGCTCTCCAGTCCTCTCTCCAAGCTCTTGCAGAACGTATTGAGGCGGTCAAGTCCGATCATGACAAACTCGAAAGCGAGAACAAATTCTTACAAGACTATATCGGCGGCCTGACTCGCAATATGACCAAGACCGAGTTGACGAGATCGAGTACCAAGGTCAAGAGATCGCATAAATAACGCGTGCGCCAGTTTAAAACCCTCAGCCGACAGGATCAGAGGCCTCGGCGATCGGGCTATTGGATGTCGAGAAGATTCATGCCCGGGGCAAGTTGACTTTCGGCGTACATCGACCTCTGTCCATCTACACTTCCTCTACACTTCGATCGATACTACGCAACATCTTTACTGGCTGGGTGACAAATTTGCAAACTCGATAAGCCGCAAAAATCCACTTCAACATTACAACACTAACAGAATAACGCAAATGGGATTCCAGCTGCCGCAGGCCTGCAACCTACGTTATGACACTCAGAACACGACACTGTTCATCTCCAATCTTGGTTGCCTTATCAAAATTGTCTCAAGGTCTTCCAAGCGGACTCAGTTCAGCATCGCACCTACCATTGCTCACTAACAACAAACTTAACAAACCATGACGTTCTCAATCAAGCGGCAATCAAGCCCCCCTGTACAACAATGCCCTTCTTCAATCAACAAATCAAAGACTGCAGGTGACTGTGTCCATGTGATATGCCCAAGGGAGAGCCAGAAAGAGTGTGACATCATAGCATGCCATGTGTTGCTATGGAATTCGTTCCGCCACACTGAGTCGTGCTTAATTTTCGACTATCTATCCTTGCGGCTGATCTTGAGACATACCTCACCGACACTTTACTGCCTTGCGTTGGGTTCGAATTACGACCTGTTTCTTTCTCGGGCAGCCTTAACTTCGTCTGTCGATATTTTCGCTACCTTTACCATTCTTCTTCTTCTTCTTCCACTTTTCCCCGCTTTGCCTCTTATTTTTGTCTCTTTCTGTTACCACGGGTGGCCTAGTGTATTTTTTGTGGCATAGCACGCTCGGCGTTTGGTTGTGGGATCATTAACCTAGACTTGAATGACATTGGAGCCGCACTGGACGCATTTGATCTCATGGTCAGCAAAAATGGCGGGAAAGCATTTTCATGGAGCAGCCAATGAGGTTTTCATCTACTTTTCGCGTGTACATTCGTCCCGTCCAGGTCCGATGGTTGTGTTTGTTTGTTTTGCTCTGAAAGACATCTGCTTTACCATACCCAGGGGCGCACAGTTTGATATTAGTATGAATGAATTGAGTTCGAATCAACTTGTATCTCCGGCATGCCTTCGCCTCAAGGGCATAGTGAATCAAGCTGGCATTCCTTCCCTGCCAAGCGGCATTTATACCAACCAGCCTAATTTGTCGGTGCATGAACTCTTGCTTCATACTGATATACCGAGATGATCGACGGAGTATATCCGGCCTACTCCTAATTTATCCTCAAAAGTATGAAATCCAAACGCCACATCTCAGACTCCCACATACTAGTTCGATCTAACCAAGATAGCCAAGATCCAGTGGCGTAAATCATAATGCCTGCATATTGCATACTAATATAGACTCTAGCAGTAGTCTGTAGTCACGGAGATCTATGACAATACACATTGCAAGGCCCATGCTACACGCCCCCCCAGGACTCCGTCCCAGTTCAATTCTCAGATACATCACAGCTGAAGTGAGGTAAATCAAGACAACGCAATTGACCTAGCCTCCCTTGAAACACACGCAAACAAAGGCCAAATAGAAGAGAAACATGATGACATCACCCTCAAACACCCCACGTCCACTACGGGCAAGTCGGCATCGTCATGTTCGGTATGTAATAGGGGTACCGGGCACCTCCCTGATACCCCCCCCTATTTACTCCCAGCAAGCATAATCGATCCATAATAATCTACTCCGCATTATAATAGCAGACGTATGACAGATGTGGCAAGTGTGGCTAAGCATGAATATCCTGCGGAATATTGAGAATCAGGTGTTCTCACTAGAGTCACTACAGGGGCAGGCTGAGATTAAGGATGGCTGAAGGCACGCCGCATACGTCATGGTTTCAGGGTGTGAGGCTGAGGGTGAGTCGTGCGGCAATGGAAGCTTTCATGAGGGTTCAGGTTGATTAATTTCATTCATCAAGTTGATCATAGGAACAATAGTGGAGTGAGTGACGTGTCTGTTATATTCTGTGCATGTCCAATTTTCGATGTGTATACACTGTTGAACAAGACGTAGCTACGATGGAGTCAATTTGCGCTTCAGGGTAAATTTCAACTTTCTTTGGTAGCCACTGCTGCCTGGGTTTAGATCTAAATTCGAGCTAAGATCGAAGAATCAAACGCCGTGCGTGGCACAAAATACGTAGATAGGGGAAACCAAGACAGGATCCGTGACGACAAGTCAAGACCTTCGGGGTGTAAATATTGGGGGGACTTGGTGGAGAGCGCGATTCTGTAAAAGGGAAAGGTATTCTTTGGGTAATTGAGGTGATAAGCAAAATTGCAAACGAGAAAATGAACAAGATGGGTAAAGACGAACGACGGGGACCACGCATAGAGAGAACAAGAGCATCAAACCAGGTGCCAGAGAACTCTTGAAGCAGCGCAAGGTGACTGTAGACGCGAGAAGAAAAAGCAAAGGGTCCAAAGAGCATTGCGCAATCGAATCTTCATCCCCCTGAGCCGAAATCCTCGAAGAAGAGGTCCTCAGCCTTGAGGACTAATATGTGATGCGAAGGGGAGAATGCGTCTCATCACCGTTCCTTCTCATGCGCTTCAGATCTACTATGCGCTAACAAGCAAGTCTCTCACCCTTGTTGGCTCCATTCGCGGTCGGACGTGAGTCTTCCATCTTTCTTTTTGTTTTCCCTTGTTTATTCAGCGGGCTTCTCGCCCTCAGCGGCAGGGGCCTCCTCTTTCTTCTCGGCGGGAGTGTTCGACTCAGCAGCTGGCTCGGCCTCAGACGAGGTCCAGAGAGTCTGAGTGCGTTAGCACAGACTCCTAAAAAAAAATCGTCCAAAAGGAAAGTTATCTTACTAGGTTGTCTCTGAGAAGCTGCATGATGAGAGTGGAATCCTTGTAGCTCTCTTCGCTCAGGGTGTCAAGCTCTGCGGCGGGTCAGTCATCGTGCAATCCTCACGTTTCCTGTCGAGGGACATTGATTTGACATACCAGCAATGGCATCATCGAAAGCGAGCTTGGCAAGGTGGCAAGCCTGGTCGGGAGAGTTGAGGATTTCGTAGTAGAAGACGGAGAAGTTAAGAGCCAATCCAAGGCGGATGGGGTGGGTGGGAGCAAGGTCGGTCTGAGCGACTTCGGTAGCGCTCTTGTAAGCCTCAAGAGAGGCATCGGCGGCGGCCTTGCGGCGGTCGCCAACGGCGAACTCGGCAAGGTAACGGTGGTAGTCTCCCTTCCTGTTGATTCGAAAAGATGAAAAATCAGTACATATCCCCCCTTCTTCGTATTTTGGGAGAGGATGATCAAGACGTACATCTTGTGGTAGAAGACCTTGGACTCGCCGCTCGCAGCAGAGGGGATCAGGTGCTTGTCCAGAACCTCCAGGATGTCATCGCAGATCTTGGCAAGCTCGGACTCGATCTTCTGGCGGTACTCCTTGATCAGAGTGACCTGGGACTCGTTGCCCTTCGATTCCTCCTTCTGCTCAATCGAGGTGACGATTCTCCACGACGCACGTCTGGCACCGATGACGTTCTTGTAGGCAACAGAGAGAAGATTCCGCTCCTCGACAGTGAGCTCTACATCGGAAGAGGCAACAACCTTCATGTTCTCGACCATCTCTGGAGCGACGCTGTTAGTTTAAGAGCCTCGATAAATCGGATGGAGCTTCAGGTAACAAACCTTCGTAGCGCTCAGCCTGCTCGGCGAGCTTGGCCAGGTAAACAGCATCTTCGTGACCCATTGTGAAGGAGGTTCTGTTCAGCACCGACGATTAGCAATGATTTATCAATATGAACAAAATTAATGGTCAAAGCAGCAATCTCGTCTGGTTGTCAGGGATGTCCAAGTAGCCGTGGGATGCTCGATCGTGTGAAAAGGAGCGAGGGGCAGCATGACGGCAGTCACAGGACCGCAAGTGAGGCTGTGAAAACAAGTTGGTGATTCGACGGGCGCGGAAGCACAATACCCCTCCAAAAACACAACCATCTTGAGGCTTCCATTCGATACATTTTTAGCAAAATATTGTGGTTTGCAGCCGATTCTTTCAAAATTAAGGAATCATGGCAGCTGGAAGCAGTCATGGAGTAATGTTGACATTGTATGCTGCACTAGCGCTCCCTCCCTCAGGAGAACCGTTCATATGCATCGCAAGTAGGCGTTTTCCATAGTACTCCCATTTTGACGGGCATGGGAGGGGTGCGAAGTGATCGTCAAAACAAGTTCTGACCCTGCGATTCCACTTTCTCTGGGATGAATGGCCACAAAATCCAACCCTGCACTTCCGGACGAGATTTTTGGACGGCTTGCAATAGTAATGATAAGGTGCAATGTGGTGGTGGTGGTGGTGGTAAGGAGGCTGATTATCATTGGGGAAACAGTGGCTCAGGGAGAAAGGAGGGGAAAGATGCGGAAGAAAACAGAGAATCGGACTCACCTAATTAAACGGACTGGAAAGGAGGATTTGAGAAATGGGAAGAAGTCAAATTGAGGGAAGGAGAATGAGGTTGTTGGAAGTTCTTGGAGGTAGTTATTTGGAGTTGGAAATAGAAGATGGGGGAAGGAAAGTTGAAGTGGGAGGGGAAAAGAGAGAGGGAGAGACAGGGAGAAGGGGGGTGGGAGAGGGGACTAGTGGTGGTGGTAATAGTAGTAGTAGGTAGGTAGAGTAGGAGTAGGAGTGCTGGTGCTGGTGCTGGCACTACTACCACTGCTGCTGGGTAGGGAGCAGCAGTTACCAGTAGTATTTGGCAGTAGACAGTACTAAGGTAGTAAGAGGCTGCTTGCTGTCTGGCTGAGAGAAGCACAACAGAATCCAAAAGAACAATGCAGTAATCTCTCTCTCTCCCCTCAACACTCGTGATTTGCTTGTTGTTTTCACTATCCCTAGAGAGGGATTGTTCGGATGCTGATAAAATTTCAAAATACTCTTTGAAAGGATGTCTGTCTGTCTGTCTTCTTTGCTCTTTTTACAATTACAGCTCTCTTTCAGAATTCCAACAATCCCCTTCTTCACTAATAATGATATACTAGATACTATTTGGATCTCCTGTCTCCTTTTCCATCAAAGCTGCCTGTCTCCCTCCCTCCTCTCTCCAGACGTCTTTTGTGTGGTTCGGTGGGCCATCCATCGTCATCCCTATTTCACTCCCGCCAATCGTCCCGCGTGTATGAGAGATAGGATCCTCCTTTCTCCTCCTCCAAGGACTCATTTATTACTAGCATTGATTGATTGAAGCTCTTCTGCAAACTGAGTGACAACTCACCAAAGAGTCCATTAATATTCAAATCCTCTATATTATTAGATTTCCAGGTGCGAATTTCTGCTGGAAGATAGCAGAAACAGATCTCAACTACCTGACTCCATACTCTTGCTGCCTTCGGGGCCCTGTTCCATGGTTATCAAGGCCATGCACCCGCAATAAACGAGTAGTCTCTTGGTTGATACTGGTAGGAAGTTGGTGATCAGGAATACATTATTAGTAGATAGACTGTGAAGTCCATTAGGAAGAGCTGCTGCAGACCTTCAAGTTGCGCTGTTGAATGTTAGCTACCAATCCCTCGCAATCCTCATCCTTGTCGCCTTAATTTTTGGCAGAACGAGGCTCGAATGTCAATAGTTCAGTTCATTTTTGCCTCCATAACAATCTAGAAGCGCTCAACAAAAATGGGTTTTCGGTGTCCACCTGACCTTGCCAGACACAAATCAAGTAAGCAGGCCATCCCAATCTCGCGCTAGTACAGACTGGGTAAGCCAGCATTTTCGCTGACTCATACAGTATCACATGATCCTTCTGGCTCTTTAATGTCGTCATAGGTGATTTCCGGCCGACGGCATTCCCAGTGCAGGTGCAGGTCCGAAACTGCAGAGCTGACTACCTTACGACTACGAGAGTTTGCGGTAGTGTGGGAGAGCCGGAGAGGACTACTAGCAAGCTAACCGGACTAAGCTGTGAGGTACGGAGTACACGACCTTACGATACCCCAAGCCACCACCACCACCACCTACCACTCCTCATAAAGAGCCATCTTTCCTCCTTCTCATCATAATCTTCGTCACACATCATTTTCCATAATCATTGTCATCTGGTCATCTCCTTCCATTCCTCTATCATATAACAACATCCATCCAACATGCTCCGCCAATCTGTCCGTCCCCTCACAACCGCCAACCGTGCCCTCACCCGCTCCTTCTCTGCTCTTGCTCCCAGAATGGGTGCAGGTGATACCGGTGCTCCTCGCTCTGGCGGTACTCAAAGCGGGTATGTCTCTCCCGTTCCTATTACTCATCCTTCAGCATCTTGAGTACGCTGGCGCTGTTGCTGTCAGTTGAATGGATGACATCACTTATTCCCGACCGGAAGCTGTTGACAACGGGCTGACTGGTCGATTTTCCCCAGTGACTCCTTCACACGCCGGGAAGCCGCACAGGAAAGCATTTATATCCATGAGAAGGAGAAGGAGAAGTACGTTTTCTGTCTTGATTTTTGCTGCCGGACTTCCGGCAATGGGCCGATGAATAGCATACTAACATGTCCGATTATCAGGCTCGAAGCTCTGAAGAGAAAGATCAGGGAACAACAAGAGCACCTCAATGAGCTTGATAAGCATCTGTATGTCCCTCTGAATCTCCTTTGTTCTCTTCTACTCTCGTAATAAGCGACAAATGTCTAACCTCTGTTCTACCTGTGCAGCGAGGAGTTCACCAAGAGCCAGGGCGGCGAGAAGAACTAAATTCGAACATCATCTGCATCTGTCATGACCACCATATCTACAAATCTTAAATCGAGAGATTACCCGACAGTGTCGAGCACACTCGACGTTGCCTTTCACACTGTCATGAATGACAATATCCACTCTTCCCATGTAATTCGTCCGACTGCTGTCTGGCCGCAAATCACAAGAATTATCTCTATCGAGAAACCATGTCAAAGCCTAGAATAAGAGTACCATCAATCTAGTCCCTGAAATAGCCTAATCCTACGGAACGAGGTCGCAATCGCAAGCAGTAACCGTGAGCTAGGCGAAGAACTAGCTCAAATCGTCACAAACCCATTATGCCTAGTATCGAAATTACAATCGCCATACCGATCCATCATCTCCCATTTGCCTCGCTCTAGTAATCACAAAACATGGATAAGGAGATTCGATCACCGCCGTCCCATGTAGGAGCGATAGAAATCATCCGCCGCACTTCCGCCGCCCATCCCAGAGCTGCTGAATCCATGACCAAACCGGGATGACAATGCATGTCCGGACTTTTGGGCGGCGCTGACCTTTGCCTGAAGCTCAGACGTGCCCTGGTCGATGAGCTGCAGTTGAGAAAGATGCGAGTTGAGGATGCGCACGATTTGAGAAATCTAGGCAGGCCTGTTAGCACCATCGAGACCAACTGAAATGATACCGTCTTAAAACGATCATAAATGTACATACCGGTTCATCGGCCTTGTTGGTCTTGCTTAGGGTAGCCGAAGCACCATTGACCTCTTCAATCATGCTCGTCAAATCCTTGCCCATTTCGTCCAACTGCTCGGACAGTCTCTCGGCCAGTTTGTAGCTATTGCCAGAATTAGCAGATGCCATATGAATCGTGTATTAAAGGAGCAACATCGCATACGTTCTTTCACGTTCCTGATCCGGCCCCTGTAGGGTTTCGCCAGGTCCCACTTGTTTCGACATCATCTCATCCACCTCACGCTCATACCGATCTAACCACGAGCTAAGCTCCTCCTGCTGCCCCTCAACAGATGCGAGCTGGCGCTCAATCTCCTGTGTGGCTCGATCGGCATCAACTGTACTGCCATAAAGTTTCTGGACCTTTGCAGTATTCTCCACCAGCATACGGTCCCAGTCCGCAACCTTCTCGGCCTGCTCTCGGAATTCCTTCTGATACTTGGTCAAATCCGTAGCCCACCTTGTGATAATCTCATCCATCGTCTTGTTCTTCAGGCGGGACTGCGCCGGAGGTGTTGGGCCAACAGTCGATGCACCAAGAGCAGTACCTCCGGCCGCTGCGGCCGTCCCGGCAGCGGTTCCAGTAGTGGCGGTGGTTGTCGATGTCGCCGGCCCGGAAGTTGCTGTGAGCGATGGCTTGGCACCACCGGTGGTTGCAGTAGCGCCCGCAGCAGTGCTGGGAGCCTGCGTAGAAGGTGTGTTCTCAGCAGGTTTACCGAACAATCCGCCGGTCGCCGCTGCGGGCTGAGAAGCGGGAGCGGTGGTGGTTGTTGCCGCACCTGTCTCCGCAGGCTTGGACGCATTCAGTCCAGCAAACAGGCCACCTCCAGCCGGAGCAGCCGCTGGTGTAGCTGATGGGGTGGCGGAGGTAGTACCTCCAAGACTAGGGAATAGTGATTTTTGCGGAGTGTCAGATGATGTGGTCAAGGCTGTAGAGGGTTGGCTGGTCGTGGTTGTGGTAGCTGTACCGAGAGACGGGAAAGCAGGTTTCGTCCCTGGTTCGGCGCCAGCAGATGGCATCTTGAAGAGTGACGAGCCTTGAGCTTGCCCGGCGGGTGCGGCCGGGACAGCTCCAAAGAGGGGTTTCGCAGCACCATCAGCGGTGGTGGTTGGAGTTGTTGATTCCGCAGGTTTGTCCATGACTGCATTGCCGAACAAACCACCGCCACTGGGTGCCGATGGAGTTGTTCCAAACAGTGGTTTTTGTTGAGCGTTCGATCCAAAGAGACCGCCTCCGGTAGATTGTGACTGTTGAGCTCCCCCGAAAAGGGTTGGCGTCCCGGCAGTCGCGGGCGCCGTTGTGGCTGTGGGAGAGGCTGTCGAAGGTGAAGTAGTAGCTGCGTTCAGTCCGCCGAAGAGACCACCTGGTTTCTGAGCTGCCTGTCCGAAAAGCGACTGTCCCTGCCCGGCTGCGCTTCCCTGTGGCGGAGGGCCAGCAGGTGTGGTAGAAGTGTTGCCAAAGAGCGAGCCTCCGGATGGCGCAGGAGTCGCCGCGGCGCCTCCGAATATATTACCAGCAGGCTTTGCGGCGTTCCCAAAGAGAGCGTTGCCGCCTGTTTGCCCAGAAGCAGGAGTCTCTCCTAGTTTGGGAGTCTGCGATCCGCTGCCAAACAAGGACGGTGACTGAGGTGTGCTACCAGGCTTGGTTTGAGTTCCAAAACTAAACGCAGGCGTGCTTCCAGTCGGTGTGCCACTGCTCGCAGCACCTGTACCACCACCAAACAAGGTATTGCCCGATCCCGCCGCAGGTGCCGATCCGAATAACGAGGGTGTAGAAGTGCCGCTAGAGGAAGCTCCTACATTGCCAAAGAGACCACCTCCCGTAGTGGTGCTGGGGCTATTCTGATTGGAACCAAAAGCGTTGCCAGCAGTTCCAAAGAGACCTCCACCTGAGGCGCCGCTGGAGGCCGGCGCACCGAAAGAAAATGGGTTGGCCATGACGAGAAATGTTCGACGCGGCGAATTGTCAGGGCTGCCCTGGTGACCGTCAGAAGGGACGCAAAGAAAAACAGCAAGTCAAGACGGAGGATGCTAGGGAAAATTTGGAATGAGAGAGAAACTTACTGCGCCCGGAGAAAATAAGACCTGTCAAGGCAGGACTTGCGATTGTGGTGACTATCGTTATTGAAGAAGCTTCACTCAATTGCAATATAAGTAATAGCAATGACAAGCAACGAGGTGAAACTTGATGTTGTTAGCTGGAGTACCAGATGTCTTTGGAAGAGGGAAACGCGCGCTTGTACTATTGGCGGCTGGCGTCTAAGCAACCTCACAGTTGATACCTCAGGCCACAAGGCACGTACGTTTCGGTGTGCCTCAGGCAAAAGATCGAGACTCCCATAGAACCTGGTCATCGATAACTACATATGGATGACAACGTCACCCAACGCAAGCCATCCCTTTCTCACCTATATATTCATTATTCCCTTCCTTCAGACATACTTCTTGCCTCTACAGACCGGTTCTATATGAAATACTGCCGGAAACAGTGACCTATCTTAAATGTCGGAGCGGCTCTCCCGTCCGTCCAGTCCATATCTGGAGCCCCCGAGGAGGAGTGTTGAGTTGGAAGACCCGGGGGCTCAAGACTCAGGTATGGGCTTTACCCACTCTCTCGTGCTTTTACAGAACCATTGAATTTACATGATCAATCTAGTTTCTTCTGTAGTCGCCAACAGTGATGATGAACATTTTTCAGACGCCAGCGAAGGCCATGAGCGCTCTCGTGCCCGCCCACAGTCCGGTCGCGCATCCCCTATCCCGTTGACTCGAGTTGAGAGAGTGGACGATCGACCCGCACACGGTGAAATTCCCGGTACATCTGCATATGAAAAAAGGGAACAAGACGCTGTGCCTGATGAAATTGAAATCATCCCGAAGGCGTCACGTAGCAGGAGCTCGTCCACTGCGGGGTCGCAAAAGCGCCCATTGACTCCGGGAGGGTCGCCCATCCCTCGGACAATTGTTGAAAAGGTTGATCCGAATCAACCAAGCCATGGGGACGTTCCTGGAACGCTTGCATATGAGAAGCGTAGAGCGGACGCAGTCCCAGACCTTGTCATCAAAGCGCCAGAATCGGATATCGACTCACCGTCGCCTCGCGCCGAATCAAACGAGCCTGGAGCTGTCACCGGCACGCAGGTTCCTGCAACAGTGGTCTCACAAGTGGATTCAACGGCAATTGAAGGCGCGACTTCCAGCCTACACGCTCATCGGAGACGCCCAAGTGATGCCTCTCCAGATGTGATAGAGAAGATTTCAGATGCACCAGGTAAGCTTCGAATCGTCTTTCCGTCACAGAGAATCTCAGGGGACCATTGACCAATTCAGATTTGCCCATTCTATTATCATCAAGTAGCTCCGCACATCAAGATCGCACCTCGCGAAGAGGCTCGTTAACAAGTGAGAGCGTCAATCATGATTCAGGTGATGTTGAGGAGGACTTTGACTATGAGGACAACGCCGAATCCGAAACCCCTCAGGATCAAGCAGCTGCGGACGACTTTGATGACTTTGCAGAAGAGCAAGAGTTGGCAGATGATGACTTTGGTGACTTTGACGATGGCTTTCAAGAGCCGGATGGAGACGCTGCTGAGCCCGAACCGATTGAAGCCCAGCAGCCTCTCCCACTTCCTTTAGCTGTGAGTACACCTCTGCGAAAACTTGTCAGGAGTGGCTGTAGCATCGATTGAGCCCTTCTTGCGCACATATATGCTAACAATCAAATCGGATTCGCAGCCTCCTTTAATAGATTTCGATACCTTCGAGTCTCTCCCCGATTTACACGCCGCCTTGGATCAATCCCTTGACAAACTCTATCCCACTTCCAAAAATGTTTCATCGCTTCCCCCCCTAGAGCCAATCCAAGATGCCTCCTCCATCTTCAGTACTGAGCGATCCTTGTCACTTTGGTCTCAGCTCGTCGCGCCACCGCCATTGCAGCCGCAAAACTGGGTCAAGTCTCGAATCCGCCGTCTTTTCCTGGTCTCTTTGGGCGTTCCAGTTGACCTGGATGAGATACTACCGGCTTCAAAGCAAAAGAAGCTCGTGCTTCCATCTATAAATCTGAGCGGCTCAGATACTACTGGATCTGCCGTTCACTCACGCTCTCAGAGTCAGGCCAGGAAAAGCGGCTCGCAAGATGGCATTGGCAGCCCCACAACGTCTGGTCCAGCGGCTCGGCATCGAACATCTCGTCGCCGTGACCGATCTCCGCCGCCTGAGCTGGATCTGTCGGCGGTGCGGCGACTGTGTGCCACCACCGATGCAGCATTGGATGGGCTGACCGACACGGAGTTGAGAGGGCATGTCAACGAACTGGAGCAAGTCACGCTTCGGGCCAGTTCTGTCCTGGAATACTGGCTGAAGCGCCGAGATGGACTAGTCAGTGAGAGGGAGGCATTTGAAGGCGTGATAGAGAACCTTGTCAACCATGCAAGGCGGGTGAGGAAGTGAAGAACTACAGGTAATATCATATAATATGGGTTTCTTTCTTTCTTGTCTCTTTTGGATACTATCTCTCGGTCGACTCACGGGAGAAAAGCGCTCGATACCAATCTTATTCTGTTCAACCCGAGGTCGGAACCTCTCCATATCCTATTCGCCATGGGAGACCGACCGACTTTCTCATGCATGTTGGGTATATCTTCGTCCGAGTTCGGGTGATGATGGCTATTTTTTGTCGTCGAGATAGACATCGTCGGATTAAGTGTATGATATCATTAATTAATGGTGTTATCAATGGATTTATCCTAAACTAAAGCCAGATGCATCAGTCCATGCCTTGGAATCTCCACAGTTGCCAACCTCTGATCGGCAGCACCTCCCTCTATCTATGGCCCCTGCATATACCCTCATTCAAATTCGCTTCATTTCTCCCAGATCATGCGTTCAACGATGCATGATTATCGTCAAGATGTCTTCCATGCCATTGCCTCATCAGTCGAAAGAAATTACCAGCATTCGCCTCACTGACTCTGAACTATGCAGACGGCAAATCAATTGTCGTAATATTTAGCGGGCCATCGAAGCACTTCACCAGGATGGTGTTGATTGTCGTGGAAAGCGCAATTCCTCCTTCCTACTTGGACCAGCTCAACGCTCTCATGCTCACACACTCTACAAGAAGAGATCTACGCACCGGAACTTTGGGCCCGAAACAGACAACATCCAGCAAGAAGTTCTCATACAAAAGGCCATTGCCCGTTTTCGCGAGCAGATACCCAATTCCGAGGATTCCGAACGAAAGGCGCAGAATCCCTTGTCGACGATCATCGCAAACCCCTTCGCCACCGCTATCGTCGAGTGCATGCTAGGCCCCAAGCCACAGATTCGATTCCTTAGTGCAAACACGGCCTTCAGGACCAAAGAGATAGGTCGTCAGCCGCCGCATATCGACGTCGCGTTCGACTTTTCCCGCGATCCGTTCGGTTTCTGCGTGAACGCAAATCTGGTTGAAACTACAGCTACGAATGGCGCAATGGAGCTCTAGCCTGGAACGCACAGTGGCACTGATGCGTCGGTGCCGATGCCTGATAATGATGGAGTGATGCGGAAGGCGCTGGTGGAGGCTCGGGCGCAAGCTTTGTCCGCCGGTGCAACCTGTATTACCCAAGGGCTCATTAGTTATCGAGACATCCTGAAATACCGAATTGGACGGGTGAACCACGGGTGAACCACGGGACATGCTTGTCACTGTGTTGCTTGCACGGTGGTATGGGAGTGAGCTGAGGATGAGACTCCCGGAAACTTGTAGAGGTGTGATTGAGTGGGGAGATTTAGAAGCATTTGTGGACTGGATGGGAGAGGATTATGATTATTTGCAGGGTTCTCATGATCATGATTTTGTTCTCCTGCCACAAGATACCAGTGTTATGGCTTGAATCTTGAAGATATAGTTCTTTTTTTTGAGACACTGGGAGACAGTACGACAGTAGAAATTCAAGCCAAAGCATAATAAAACAGAATTGAAGGCAACAAAGACTGACACCTAGAATTTCCCTAAACTTTTTATATCTATCCGTATCATTAGAACATAGGTCCTAACTAGTATTTGTTGCTGTCTTCCCCATGCCATGACATTGAAAGACCCCACTGTTGCCCATCAAACGGCGAAACATCGGCCCGCAAAGATTTTCTCCAGAAGCATCCCAGATGCTCAACTTTACATGAACAGTTTCAACGCCTAACCTCGCCTCTAATTCTTTCTGATAAACAGACTTGTACTGAACCCTGGAAAATTCATCTGAGTCAAATCATCAATCATCATGGGCGTCGCCAAGAAGACTCGCAAGTTCGCGCAGGCAAGTCCTCAGAAAACAATACTGTATACCCAGCACTATATTAACTCAAGCAACGAACAACAGGTCAAACGCGCCATCAGCCAGCGAGACAACCGCGTCAAGCAGCCCTTGAACGCCAAGAAAGAAGAGAAGAAGCCCCAAGGCGAAGAACTTACCCGACACATCCCCGTCGCACCATCAAACATGTTCTTCGCCGCCAACACCGCCCTGGGTCCTCCCTACACCGTGCTCGTGGATACCAACTTTGTCTCGCACACGATCCGCGCGAAACTGGACATGCTCCCGGCTATGATGGATCTGTAAGACTACTGCGCCTGCCAGCTGGCGACTCTGCATCACAATGCCCCTGTGACGAACGAGACTGACATGCGTGTGGCTAGGCTGTATGCCAAGTGCATCCCGACCTTCACAGACTGCACCATTGCCGAATTGGAGAAGCTGGGCCCGAAGTTTCGGCTGGCGCTGAGGGTTGCAAAGGATCCGAGATGGAATAGACTGCATTGTGATCACGCTGGTACTTATGCTGATGACTGCATTGTTGACCGGGTAAGGCTGCTTTCCCCCCCCCCTCCTCTGGGTGTCATGGTTTGCAAGCGATTTCTAATCTTCGATTCGGGGTTACAGATTATGAAGCACAGAATCTACACCGTCGCTACGAACGATAAGGACCTTGTGCGGCGCATCCGCAAGATACCCGGTGTGCCAATTATGAAGGTTGCCAGAGGCAAATACGTTATCGAGCGGCTACCTGACAGCTTCGACTGAGCGGCTTGAAACCTCCTGCAACTTTCCTGTCAACGGTGAAATGCCGCGCACCAGGGAATTGATTGTCATCTTTGCACGTCATTGCGCTGTGTCTCGAGCTTCAAGGCGGCTATCAATCATCTGAGACTGCTACAGCGTCCCTTCCGAGGCAGTTCGAACATTCTCAGTCGGACTGGGAGGAAATAACGGAGATGCGTTTCTCGGTTCACGCGCGTTGGATCAAGAGTTGCTTCTATGCGTGTCGCTGGCCACAGCTCGATCTCAACGGCCTACCCACAGCCAGCAGGGCCTGGCTCCCTCAACAAGGTGAATTCCTCGATGCGCACAATCTCTGGGCGGGTATGGGACGGTGACAGGGGCACTATGACGCGCTTTTCATTTCTGATCCTATTATACCCATCGCAGCGGTTGTCTTATACGTCTCACGTTACGTCAAATTATGTCCATCTCTCTGGTCCTTCATACCGAAACTTTCCCTCGTACTTAATGGAATGTAACTTTGCTCTAGTTTTCAAAGGTAGTTGTCAAGGCTACTTTGGTTCCAGAAGCCTTCAAAGACAAAGTGTACTCATTACAACGATAGAAAACATTATCAATTTCTGCGCAAGAACATGGAATTGGGGGTATCTTGTGCTATAAATCAATCAAAAACACCGATTAAACGCACCACCGTGCAGATGGTATACTGAATTCAGAAAGCAATCAACTCCGTTGTAGAGCCAGCGGTCCTATCGAATCACCTAATCGAGTTCGATGACCAAAGATGCCGAGGATTCGCGAGATGCTAGTGATTCTCGACCAGCACCTTCTGTCTTCGGCCTCTGAGTTGCGAGATGCGAATCAACGCCCTCATGTTTCCGTTTCAATGAGCCGCCTTCACGTGCTTGTGCAAGCTCCTTTTCAGACGGAGTACTTTCCCCATCACTCTTGAGCTCCCAAGATCCGTCCGCCTTGATCTTGATTGCTCTTGCTCCCTCAAGACGATCCGTGTGTACAAGATCAGCACGGACTTCACTAAGGAAGCCATCGATGATCAAGAGCTGAGGACGGGCGTCTGCGCCGCAGATTGGGCATTTCCAATTCTCCTTCAAGAGAGCTCTACCCGTCTTGGAGGCCCTGGTCATGATGTATGTCTCGAGGTCGAAGCACTCCACATGTTCGCACATGATTCCGCGAGCAGGAATGTTGAATATTCGAGCCATGAAGGGGTCCACCAGATTGACAGTGAGGTAGTCACTGACAATACTTAATTCATCGTCGGCAGTACTGGAGGAAAGGCGTTGACGAATCCGCTCACGAGACTGAGGTGCGGGTAGCGTCTGAGCGAGCTTCTTCACTTGAGTGAAACTGAGGATATCCATGACCTCCACCCCTAACGCATATACTACGTCTCTGCTTTCGGCGGCGCTGCGGATGAAATGCAGGGAGATGGTATTCAAGCCTTCTCTTAGATTACCACTGATGTCCAGAGGAATATCTTTGCCGTTGTGAAATTTGCGGCGAACATAGAGTTCTACACCGTTCACAAAGATGTAAATAACACTGGGCCATACAGATTCTGTGAGACACCAAGCATGCTGGCTCACCTCATTCGCCGACGGCGAAATGCGAATACACCGCACACGATAGATCTGGCTACCATCAACCAGGGCCCGCACTAAATGTTGACCAGTGTCGCGAGGATCGATTCGAGGAAGCCGGTCAAAGTCTGCTCGGGAAAGAGAAAACTGCCATTCAAAAGCAGACTCCGTCTTCCCCAAGGGAGTCGGCTGTACCACAAACGATTTCAAGTAATGGAACAGATTTGTCTCCTTGTCAGCCTTTTCTCCCCCTGCTCCCGAAGGATTGAATCTGACAATGGGATCGCGGAGATGCGCCTGATGTAGCGCATGGCGGAGAGGGTGAGGCCGTGTTGTGGTACAGGGTAGGGGCCCCGGTGGAGGAAGGAGCAGCTGTGGGACCGGTGGGCTTTGCTGCGGTTGCTGCACCTGTCCTTGTGCCTGCCGTGTTTGAGTAGCAAAGCGCTGAGTAGGAGTTGTGATTTGCGTAGACTGAGGTGAGGGCTGAGGTGAAGGCTGTGGCGGATTCTGACGGACATTCCGGGAAGGCGCGTGGGATAGTATTTGCGCCTGATGTCCAGCTGGTGCAGGTACAGGCACCGGTGAATGAGGAACCGTGCCTGTCACCTGCGAAGCTGGCACTTGGGAGGAAGTGTTAAGACCCCGTGGAGGCACGAGGTTCGGCCGTGTAGGTAATGGATGTTGGGGTCTCTGACCATTTAATAGCATCGGCGGCGCGGCACGATTCATAGCCCCAGGAGCGTGAACAGGGAATTGCTGGGTCTGCGGTTGAGGGCTATGTACAGGTACTTGCTGGGACGGCATCTGAGCGCTAGGGACCGCGGCATATGTGATCTGCCCTGTAGGGCCAACGGGCTGCATTGAGTGCTGTGGCAAGGGCTGAGCTACATGCTCTCGTGCCACAGGTGAAGTATGTTGACCAACTGGCGATGTCTGGGACCGACCAAGGGCCCTGTAGGCCTGAATCAAACGCTCATTCTCGCGATGAAGCTGCTCCGGAGTGGTTATTGATCTGAACCGTTTCACGTAATTCCGCTTGTTCCTGCTGTAGATACTCCGCAATTGGTCTTCATGGCGGGCTCCGAAAATTCTTCGGGACATGGCCAGGAATACTATTGATAAGAGTACGGATGATGTTATGCAAAATTGCACGACTAATTCATCGATCAAAGGGGGATAGACACGCTCTCGGACATGGCGATCGAAGGCCGTCCACTTTTCAGACAGACAACCCAGGCAATGAGCAATCTGATGGAGAACTATTGGGAACTCGCGAGTCTGGAACATCACACGCAAGGGCCGAGGGAAATTAACGCTCCACCTCAAGAAGTCGCCTGATAGACGGTGATTGTCCACAAGAAGCTGCTTGACAACCTCCAATCCCGTCTCATGGTGCCCGCTTATATAGGGTAATCGAGCAAATTCCGAGGGAGCAAAGGTGTGCAGGCAGTATATTTGATGGAGAGTCAGGTAGAATAGATCCTTCTCATTACACGCATCCCGTAGAAGACGTATTCGCGGCAGTTCCACTGTCTCTGAGAGCAGCATGGCACCCTGCGCTCTTGCCACGAAAGCATCCAGGAGCTGCTGTGACTGTGCCCAAAATGCCTGGTTGATGAAGGAAGTCGAAGGACCCTGTCCGACGGGGCTGGGAGGAACATGGTTTGAATCGGGCGGAGCGCGGGTCATTGATGGTTGGGACCGCAGTTGCGCTTCAGGGGAGACAGGGGCTATGAACTGCTGGGGACTCGCAATCGCCTGCTGTCTCTGCAGGCCTCTGATAATGGCCGGCGCCGAGGCGGCGGCCATTCTCTCCCCGCCCGCTGTGGTCGGCGATGCGCTCGCGGACATGACATCGCCCATTTGCCTGGGATGTTCCGGTTGTCCGTATATCTGCATCGGCCCAGTGACTGGCGGAGGGGATGGGAGAACGCCATGTGACAGACTTCGGTCATTTCGATCTCCAGCGCTGGCAGGGCTAGGGTGGGAGGCACTGCTTGGGTCGGGAGACGGAAGTGAGGAGGACAGGGGCTGCTGTGGCGGTTGAGGTGCACGGACGGCGGCCGTTGGCCCACTGGTCGAAGGAGTGGTGTTGAAATTCGTGGTAGGTGTTGTGGTAAACCCGCGAGTGCTTAAGGGTACCACAGGACAGGGTGGTGGAATAATATCGCGATTTTGCTGGAGGGTTCCCCCGGGCGTCACGGGGGACATTAAGACTGACGGCGTGGACGTAGCAGGAGCAGTGATGTTACCATTGGCTGTGACGGCGCCAACATTATTATCTTTATTGTTCTTCTGACTCTGAGAGACGATTGTGACGGAGGATGGAGGGGAGTTTCGCATGCCTTGCGGGCGACTTTGAGGCTGGTCGGCAACGGCAGAGGCAGAAACAGAGGCAGAAGCCGGATCCGAGACAGCAGCGAGTGAAGACTGGGAGGACGAATTGGGAGGGACAGTAGCAGTAGCAGCAGGAGGAGGGGTAGCAGGAGCATTCGCAGAAGCAGAGCTGATTGACAAGGAAGATGAAGCATCCAACATCCACGATCTCCGCACTCCTGCGCCGCCCAGGAATAAGTTTGCAGTCGAGTTGGACCATTCCAGTTGGTGATGTGGATTAGGTAAGAGGGGACGATTCTTGGTGGTCGCAGGACTCATGGTGAAGGGAAAACATGATTTATCGTCTCCCTTAAGCAATGAACTCCGTTTTCTGTCTTGTTTTTCGCTTTATTTGTATCAAAAATGAAATGACAAGTAGTAATCTTCCCTGTCCTAGATCGACAGGGCCGAGGTGTGGTATTTATCTATGATTCCTCCGCACTTGGTTGTTGTCCATGCAGATCGAAGAAACGCCGTTTGTTCCAGGACCAGCTAGGATGGCGAGGCGATATGCGTGTCTGCACAGGGATCTGGAGAGTTGATCAAGAGAGGGGGAAATAATAGCAGTAGTCGACTAAGGTGAATATTTAAGAGAGTTGGGGGTAGGGTCAGATTCAATAGAACAAAGAAAAAGCAGGTGATAAAGAAGTAGAGGAAGTAGTGAGTGAATAAGTGAATGCCAGTTAAAGTAATCACATAAGTAGAGCAGTCACTACCTATTCATACAGTAGTTAGAGAAGTGATAGCTATTGAATGTAAAAGAAAGAAGTTCTAGAATATGATGATCAATCCCTTAATACTACTTACTACTATTTCTATCCCCTTCCTTTGCCACTATATTTACCTAGATATTGTACTTCTGTGGCAAGATCACTATGGAAACAGCCCTTCCAATGTCTTTCAAAAGTACCTGTAGAGGGAACCTAGGGTAGCTGCAGGAATAAATGTCCATATTCTGTAGGAAGTAGACTGCTGCATTAAGCATCTCCTTTATAGATAATAGATAGGATAGGGGTAGAGAAACGAAGAATGATGCATCCATACTTCTACAGTATGCTAGTCATTACGTATATAGTTCAAAGGGACCAGTCTACTACGTCTAAGATTCCCTAGATCAAAGTTCTATCCAAGGGCTATATTAATAAACCCTCGCTTCCTTCGTCGATTAATCAAATGCGGATCAGTCGAATTCCCTTATGTATACGAGTCTCGAAGCCCTGAATTCAGTCTATCTAATCATCGGTGATGCTCATTAAGATCATTAAATCAATATGCCAGGTAGCATGTAATCATTTAAACATTCACCGTCGAAGGTAGGTAGCGGTCTGACATCCATCCTCTCATTTGGATACGAAGTATCAAGGCCGATTTTAAAGATGATGGGTTGTCTTCTAAGCTCCCTCCCAGTACAGAATATGAATCGACTCCTTGCTCCGAAGACGAACTCAAAAGAGAGACAGACTATTACTGTTACTTATTTTCGCTCGAGTAAACACTCCATGAGATCACACTGTAGTAGGTAGTTATCTGTCCTGAGATCCACTTACACAGTAGGGTATGTACACCTGTTCCTCGTGAGGTATCTATCTCCCTCTGTTGGCTCCAGTCATCACCTTCCATCTATCACATCATCGTCATCATCATCAAGTCGCAATTCCATGATCATCAACCTGATCAAGCCTCAGAAGATACCAAAATTTGTATATCTCTGGGTTCTGTCCATCGATTTGAGGGCAAAGTCGAAACTCCTCCCCAGAGTGTTCTACCAAAACAACTCCTTCAACACAATTGAGCACTGGAGCAGTGAGTCGAATCAATTAAGCGCTTTACGGCCGACGCTCTGACGACTGCACGCCCCACGCATCGTTCATCAGGTCATCATCTTTTACTGTCATCATCTCCTCTTGTCACCTTCGCCATCATCGAGATCCTCACCATTCAGCACAATCAATTATCCGCCCACCCAGTTCCACTATACCAGAGGCGGAATTTCGACGTGGAGTACGGAGTATAGATAGATACTACCTACCCAGGAAAGTTGGAAATTTGGAAAACCCGACACTCGTGCAGCCGCCCATTTGGCGCCCGTTTCCACTCCTTAGCGTTCTGGCCATAGTGAGTCCATACGTGCCCCTGGGATCGTCACTGGCTTGCTTATCCGCCTGGTGAAGCTCCAGACAGAGCAAACTGGAGCTTAATTTGTTCTTTGTATGTTCTTTGTGTTCTGTTCTATTTTCGTTTGATCAAGTGAATCGAGAGAGATATAGAACGACGGATTGTCCCCCCTCACTTTTCTCCAAACCTATTTTGATGTATCTACTAGTACTTGAAAACTAACTAACTACTACAGACCGAGAGTGTCAAACTCGTCTCTAGTGCAGTGTTTGGCCAATCTCGATCCTCGCTCCAATTTGATCCCGCTTCTCGGCCCCGCCGTTTTCCTGTCCCTGTCTTGGATCTTCCCTAAGTTCCATTCTTCTCCTCTTCGTTTTACCTAAATTCCAGACGGCCTGGCCTTACCTGATTCAAGGCGGTGGTGCCTTCGCGTGGCTGTCGCATTCCTGAACGCAAGCGCATCATCATCTGCCATTCCGTTCGCAAGCCCCCTCCCTGACTTCAAGACGCTCGAGAACGCCCCGCCACCACCCCTTCGCCAAACAAAATAATAAGAGAAGCGAAAAGGGAAAGAAGCGCAATTCATCTCTCACCCTGGCCTCAGGGACTTAAATTTCCACTTTACCCGGGAGGGCTGCTTGGCCCCATGTCCTGCGCAATCTTCCGCTACAACTCCTGTTGCCGCTCCTGCTCTGACAACGGACAACCCCACCTTGCTCCTTTAAATTGTTGATCTGTTGAGGGTTCTTTCGATGGCTCTCTCAACACCGCCCCGCGGCGTTCGCCCCGGTGATTTTTTGCTCGTTGTCCGTAAGTAGATAATTTCCCTTGCCTCGGTCACACGGGTTGCCGCGATTTACCCCCGCTCGCTTGTCGATCAGGGTCTCCAAAACTCATCATGATAACTGACCCGTCGCCGGTCTTTAGATGACTTCGACGCGCGTGGAACGGATGAGCTTACTTTGCGACGAGGGGAGAAGATTGAATTAATAGAACTTGACGAAGGCTTTGGTGATGGTTGGTACTTGGGAAAAGATGTGAAGACAGGGACAACAGGTCTTTTCCCTGGCGGTATGCTCTCTTACAAACGAGCTGTTCGATGGCGTGTCGTGATCATAACTAATCAAAGTCTTTTCTTGATTTAGTTTACACAACTGCCGCCCCGAAGATCCCTATCCGACCGCCGAGAGAGGACTTGATTGATTTGGACGACCCCAGACCGGCAGCGGAGGACCAGATCTCGTCTGAATTGGTTGCCTCGCCCAAGAGCGGAGAATCTACGCCTCAGGCGTCTCGACATGCCAGCATATCGGAGATACAACCGCCAGAAGTAGCCAAGGACCTATCATCCATGAGGTCTTCCCCCAAGCAGCAGCAGCAACAGCACCGGTCAAGCTCATCTCCTTTGCCCACCTCGAGACTCGCCGTCGATATTCAGCAGTCGATCAGGCAAACCCTAGACTGTCAATTGAAAGGCCAGGACAGCCCGGTTATGAGTGAGACCTTGAGTGTCATCGATGAGCATATCACCGACCTGAGCACCCCGCGTCATAGTGTTGCCACTCACGAAAACAGAGCAAATAATGATTCCTCGAGCGAATATAGCAGCCATCTTGACCATCGGGTCTCCTACATCAGGGGTCATGAAACAGACGAAGAAGAGGAGAATCAGCCGACCGAGGAGCAAGTGCGGAGCTGGGACGCGGCCGAGACAGCGAGCCATCTGCGTGAACTGGGAGTCGAGGCGAAACACTGCGATATATTCAAGGAGCAAGAGATAACCGGTGACGTGCTACTGGACATGGATCAGGATTTTCTTTTTATGAAGGAGTTTGATTTTGGCGTTATGGGTCGTCGATTGAAGACGTGGCACAAAGTCAAGGCTTTCCAAGAGGAGGTCAAGGGTCTCAAACAGCAGCAGCAGCAACGGGGCTCTGCCTCCAGCTATCCTGCGCCGTCGGAAGAGAGGTCTCTCAGCCGTGCCAGCCATACCGGCCCTTTTCTTCCACGCATTCCTCATCTTACAAGAGGCTCGGCTGGCTCCATGCAGCACCCACGACTTGTCAGTAGCGGGATACCGAGTAACACAAGTTCTCCTATGACTCCGCAGACCCCCAACTTCATGGATCATCAGAGAAGACCTTCAGCAGCGTCCATCCGGGAGATCAATCACCACCGTCGTCATTCTTCCATAGACACAGGTCACCGTGTGGATACGTCGCCTCACACTGGTCATTCCAAGCAACCCTCATTTGATAGATCTTGGACTATGGCCAGCGGATCGCAACGGGTGCCCTCTCGCTCAGGCACTTACCCCACTTACCATGAAGGAGTGCTTCCCCAACGGCGCCCGGATACCAACGAGTCTGATTCTGCGGTGTCTGTGACCGATCGGTATGATGAGTTAGAACGGGGATACTTCTCTGGTCCCGAGGGGGATAACACGAAGAACAGGAGATTGTTGCAGAAACGAACATCCGTAACTGGAAGTGCTACCCATTCTCGACAACCCAGCTACGCCGACGGTCAATTGAAGGTCAACAAGCGACATTCCCGCATCGCCAGCGTTGACTCAATCCGAGACACGGCCAAGGAAGCTCCTCCTGTTCCTGTGGAGGACGTTCAGACGACTGCACCGCTGAAAGGCCGATTTAGGAGCCTAAGCACTCGTGTGATCGACAGACGCGGTCAGACTTCGCAATCCTCCAACACCACAACGTCCACAGACAAGCCTGGCTCTAGCTCTGGCTTCTTTGCATCGTTTGCACCACTTGCCCCCTTTGTGGGAAAGTCGGATCCTGAAGGGCCAGGACGTGCATCTGCCTTATCCTTCTCGCAGAGCAAGAGTGGTGGGTCTAAAATACGGCGCACCGCTGGGCTCCGTGTCATATCCGATGTTGTCGGGAAGGGCATCGACACCTCTGTCGCACCAGCCTCGCCCGTTAGAGATACCGATCCAACTTCGGCCAGAACCGGTTCTACTACACCGTCGACGTCGAAGAGTTCTGAGAGGCATAGCACTGAAAGTTCAATCAAGAACGCAGAGGGAGGAATATCCTTCCCACGTTCAAGGGCATCCGTCAAGGCGGGCCCAAAATCCAAGAAAGACACCAGCGCCTACATGCGAGGCCTGGAGAAGAAGACGCCGCAAGACCAAATGGAGGGTTGTGATTACTCCGGATGGATGAAGAAGAGATCATCGAATCTCATGACTACGTGGAAGCCTCGCCTATTTGTCCTACGTGGCCGCCGTCTGTCGTACTACTACTCCGAGAACGACACCGAGGAAAGAGGCCTCATCGACATCACCGCTCATCGTGTATTACGAGCAGATAATGATCCGATTGTCGCCCTGCATGCAACAATCACCGGCGCCACAGCATCGCCAACATCACCTTCTCATTCCAACGGTGCTGACATTTCGTCGGCGGACAAGTCGTCCACTTCAGATTCCTCTCGTAATGCCAAGCTTGACCCAGAGGGACCGTTCTTCTTCAAGCTTGTACCTCCCAAGACATCCCGTACCGTTCAATTCACCAAACCCGCAGTACATTACTTCCAAGTGGACAGTGTCAGGGAAGGTCGACTATGGATGGCTGCGCTGATGAAAGCGACGATTGAGCGTGATATGAGCCTGCCGGTCGAGTCAACGAATAAGCAGAAGACAATCAGTCTGAAGCAGGCCCGGATGATGAACCAACGACCCCCTGCACTGATGACCGAGTCAGAACTACAAGAAGGCAAGGAAGAACTGAGGAGCAATCGAACGTCGACCGAACCGGAGGAACGCAATGGCCTGCGAATTCAAGGCCTAAATCTCGACAAAGCGCCCGCAAGCGGTGAAAATAAGGAGGACAGTGCTTCCCCGAACTCTCTTGGTGGTCTCGATACAGGGCCATCATCTCTGCTACCAGAGACTCTTTTAAAATCCGATTAATGAGGCAAGATTGCCGACTTGTTGTCCTGCTGCAAGACTATTCACCCCGTTTGGCGTTTATGTGATATACCCCCTTGCTGATATGATTTCTTGTTCTCTTTTCCAAATCCCTAAGAGGTACCTCCTTCGAGTATGAGATTATGCCACTTTTGTTTTGCTCTTTCAGCTGGGTGTTCTGAAGGCATAAGAAGATGCGGATATACCATGATGATGCTGGCTAGGATATGATGAAAACCAGGAATGACATCTTTCCATTTATTTTCTATTTGTATACCTTTGATGAAAAACATTAGTGTTCTTTTTAATCAAACCAATCTTCTTCTCTTGATGGCATAGTGCGGCGCGTATATAGACCTTGGAATGATTTGTTGTTTGTATGTCTCAGATGATACACAGTGGGACGCAGAGAACAAATATCTTGGGACGACAATCCATGCTATACATAACAATCGATCTACAGCTTCCGACAGAGGCTTTTATCCATTTTCAGTCGCGCCGCAAGGACGAAGACAGTTGACACCGTTCCAGCAGCATAAAATATTGCTGGTGTTGGGCCCTGGCGACGAGTATTATCTTTGTCAGATATCAACCTAATTCCCCACCCAACCAAGCCGGAATCTTAACCTGCAATCATATGTTCTTAAATTAGGAACAGTTGTCATCTATGCTTATGCCAGTAGTTTGGTTCACTAATGCAGGGTGCTGTGCCGCAAAAACCCAGCAAACCTATGGAGGAGGATACTGGATAGAACCAAGTGGATGAACTCTACTATGTTAATTATTACTCGCCCTTCCCTGCTGCCACTATGTACATTTTAAACCGGCGACTTTCAAGTCACGAATGTCGCCGGTCCAACACACTTGCAGTCATGGATTTGATCATTTGCCTATTACCAGATGCATTCTGCCACTCCCGTTTCATGGCCCAACAGCTAGATCTCGAATATGGCTGTGTCTTCTCCAGATGAGGCCAGGAGAGCTACCAAGTCAGAAGAAGATGCTGACAGTCCTGCCCAAGCCCAGCATGCGACCAGTACTGAGGAACCGAACGCGATGCACGGTTTCAAGCTCTTTGCCATTTTCGTAGGCATATGCTTCGGCGCGTTCCTGATGTCCTTGGATATTTTCGTCATCGCAACTGTACTACTACCACCCTTGCTATTCGAAAAATTTAAATGACCTGACCCCCACAGCTAGGCCATCCCATCCATCACGTCCGACTTCAAGGATACGTCGCAATTGGCCTGGTATCCGGCTGCCTACTCACTCACAACATGCGCATTGACTCCGCTAGCAGGAAAGCTAAGCTCAACGTTTCCGCTCCGTTGGATCTACATCTCATTCTTCTCCATATTCCTAGTCGGCAGCCTCGTCTGCGGCTTTGCGCCAAATAGCAACACCTTCATCGCGGGTCGCGCAATCGCAGGTATCGGGGCATCCGGTGTCGCAAGTGGCGGCTTCGTGATCGTTCTCACCGTTTCTCCCGAGAAATCGAAACCACTGCTGCTAGGCATATGCAGCAGCTGCTTCGCTATGGGTCTAATCCTAGCACCCGTCATCGGCGGCGCGTTCACGGAGAAGGCTACCTGGCGGTGGTGTTTCTGGGTTAATCTTCCCCCCGGTGCTCTGACGTTGCTCTCTATGCTGTGCTTCTTCAAACCCCCGTCCATACAGCGCGATCGGACCGTTGTCCAGCGAATCATGGACCTGGATCTCATCGGGTGTGCGATTTTCATTCCGGCTATCTTCATGCTGCTTCTTGCTATGATGTGGGGTGGTACGGAGAAGGATTGGGACTCAGCGACAATCATCGGGCTGTTTGTGGGCTCCGGTGTGATGCTTATCCTATTTGTTTGCTGGGAAGGCTATAAAGGCGAGGGCGCGATGATACCGGCGAATGTCATCGTCAGACGGACAGTCACGTTCAGTGTCTTGTTTTCTTTCTGCCACTTCGGCTCTCTCGGTATCTTGAACTACTATCTCCCTGAATGGTTCCAGGCCGTGCAAGGCGCGAGTCCGTTGCAAAGTGGTACGCGGGTTTTGGCTGCGGTGCTTTCTCAAATAGTCGGAACCCTGTCTGCTGGTATTCTCGGTACGCTTTAACACACACTCTCACATCTTACGTGTTAATGTATCAAGTTTAAGTAGAGGCTGACACGAACACAGCACGAAGAATCCACTACTACAACCCGTGGCTCTACGTGGGCCCCCTCTTCATGTGCACCGCCGCAGCCCTATACACGCAATTCTCAACATTCAACACCCCATCCAGCCACTGGATCGGGTTCCAAGTCATCCAGGGTCTCGGCGTCGGCATAGCGCAGCAAATGCCATCGCTCATAGTCCAGCAAGCCGTGCGCGACAAGCCAGAGCTCATGCCCGTCGCGGTATCTCTGAATCTCTTCCAGTACCTCGGCGCCACAGTCACGCAGGTCCTTGGCGGTATTGTGTTTCGTTCGATTCTGGCTCCTGAATTGGCAAACCATGCTGGTTTGAATGCCCAGCAGATTGCGCTGCTGTCTGCTGCTGGGACGGCGAATGTGCGTGGTACTGCGGAGCAGAGGTTTCCGGATTTGTTGAACTTGGTTTTGGAGGCGTATAATACGGCTATTACTTCGACTTTTGTAAGCGCCCTTCCCCTACGGCTGTGTAGCGGAATTGAAACTAACCATTGCATGATAGTTTGTTGCTGTTGCTACGACAACTGCAGCATTCTTCCTGGCTTTCGGAGTTAAGTGGGAGAGAATTACCGACAAAAAGACGACTGACCCGGAGGAGGCTGAGGCTGAACAGCAGTAGAGCTGTCAATTCTGTTCTTGGTCTTTATGGGTTTATGGAATGGAGGGACGGAGAAGCGATCGATGTTGAGATGGATGAGAAACATTCAAAAGTGCAGGCGTTTTGTAAATCATAGACATAGTATTGTACTGGATTGAACAAGACGTAGTAAATATATACTTGTCATGATAAGTAGTCAACTATTTCACCCCAACAGCAACCAACGAAACGGCCTTGAGAACCCCAGGCTCAGTCGGACATAAGCCCCTCATCTCCTCCATCATCAACCCCCTCAACAAAGTCTTCTGCCTCTCATCCAAATCCTGACTCGCCGTCATCATCTGCGTAACCCTCGTCATCATCACATCCACAAACGACGCATACGAGCGGAACGGTATATCAACAGGGACCTCCTGAACCTCGACGTCGCGGTACCCCGCAATCTCTAGCTGCGCTGCCAAATTACCTGCTTTCGCCCAGTCCTCGGGGATGGAGGGCGGGCTGCGCGCCGGGTCGATCTTCGTGATTGTCCACAGGATCTTGAGCCAGTCGGTTTCGGCCCAGGAGGAGGCTACTAACACGCCGTCTGGCTGGAGGACGCGTAGGGATTCGGAGAGCGCTTTTTGGGGGGTGCTGGCGTTGAAGAAGGACTGCCACACAAATTAGCATCCAAACGAACACATAGAAGTATAAAAAAAAAAAAAAAAAAAAGATACATACCCAACCAGCCGCAACATGACTCATCTCTCCATCCCCAACAGTAGCCAAATCCATACAATCCAGGACCTCGGTCCTAACACGACCCCAAACCGACCCCGGCTCCTCAGCGACAAAGCGCCTCTTCGCCTCCTGAACCTGGTCGACCATCGCCGGTGCGAAATCCGAGCAGGTCAGGGTACACTCGGCCGGAAGATGTTTCCCAAACTCATCGATAATCCGCGTCATGATGGGCCCGGGCCCGCACCCGTCGTCTAGGATTCCGGTTGCGGATGCGAGTGGGAAGCGCGAGTTCAGGCACTCCAGCATCACGGTTATGGGTTTCACGTTGAGCCCGCCGGTCATGGATTTGTAGCTTGATGCCTTCTTTTCCCAGTCGTCGGGGGTTGCTGTGGGGGGAAGTAATGTATGTGTTAGTGGGTTTGTTTGCATGGTGATGAGATAGATGGATGGATGATAAACGAACTTGTGACTGTCATTTTGGGTGATGGTGATGGTGATGGTGATGTTAACAGGATTGTTCTGTATGAGTCTTCTGAATGTGATTGCTTATTTACTGTTGGGAAGGCCTGGGAGGGGCATTTTGATAGTTTCAGCGCCCACTCCAGGATTCACTAATTACTTCTTTTAATGCATATCCTGTAAACTATATCACCGTCCAACCCATCCAGTAATTTTTACACTTCCAGCAGTGGTAGGCATGCAGAAAGTCTCCGTGTGGCGGCTGCATTTAAGGACAGGGCATGGAGCTACAGATACTGATGCAAAGTAAGCCTAGTTAGAGAGCCTTAGACAAGCTCATTTGTTTCTGATTATTTAGGGGCCATGCGCAAGCTGCGGCAATAGAATAAATAAGATAAGGCTGGTCTGGATGATCAACTATTTACCTTGCCATCAATGACTTTCTTACTAAAGTTCTTTAGAATAAGCTCATCACATAGACTATATCTTCTAGATTTATAGTTGCCTGTTGCCCATATTGCGTACATATATTAACTTTAAACATAGGTATATATTTTAACTATAAACTAGTATTACTACATTAGTTACTACATTAACTTAGAGGCTCTGCTTGAGGTTATCACCATCATGGGCTGAAGGAACAACCAATCATTGTTAAAGAGTTACCAAGAAATCCAAGCAATGCTTAGCCATTAGCAACCAACGATCTGCTAGCGGGCAAATTGCACGATGACGCAGGATCTGAAGCAGCTACTACATCTTGTAACGCGAGTTGAAGCCTCCCCTCTTGCTCTATACGCGCTTTTGGTGACATGGTGGGTGTGGAGGGGCGATGGGTCGATCGATCGCAGCCAACCTTTCTGTCAGATTGAACTAGTCTACTAGTCTCTATATGTAGGGTTTCATATCCATAATCATACTCTGTACAAGTATAATATTCCAACAGGACTGCAGCCTGAACCAAGATTCTCACTGGTCGATCAGCCGGACTGTTGGGGGGCTGAGTTATTAGTACTATGATTAAGACAGGGAGTACTCTTAATCAACTAAAATTGAAAAGCAAAAGGGAGGAACGGGCAACGGCCCGGGCCTTTGCGCCATTCTTTATAAGACGATTTCCCAGACGCTTAATTCATTCGATGTTTTATTGCAGTTAAGAAGATGATGAACGGCGAACGAAAGCTCCGCGCGGCATGCGACCGCTGCCACGAACTCAAGAACCGATGCACTCGCACCGGTGGGCCTGAGAGTCGGTGCGACCGGTGTGAGAGACTCGATATAGACTGTGTGTATAACACCAGTGCGCGCATGGGCCGTCCGCGAGTGTCGCGGCCGGTGTCTGAGAACCAGAAAGGAGCTCATAGTCATGCGAGACACTCTAAACGACAGGCTGGGAACCGTGCTACTGCAGTGCCGCTTCCTGTTGATCATGTTGATCTAGCATCTGCACACGATAGATCTGGCGGTGCCGGTCCTAGTGGTTTTGGTCCTGGTAGTCCCGGCAATCTCGAACCAGTGTTAGGGCTTCTAGATCCTGTTCTCCTCCCCGCAGGTAAGGTATATACACCCACAGACCCTGCATGCAGGAACCGAAAAGCTAAATAGTGTGACCAGTGATACCCGGCGACAATGTGAACTGGGACCTAGGGCTGTATTCCCCGGACTTTGCGCACCCGGCTCACGACGATCCAACGGGCGGACACGGACACGGACATGGACATCGATACAAGGGGGTTTCCGATTTCTCTGATTCCGACCTGGGGACGTCAGAAAAGGGGACGGTCCCTATTGCTAAGGAGCTCCTACGGCTGCAGTTCCACCTGAGCAATCTGTTAACAGGCGCGAGCGAATCGCCGCACCAGCCGGCCCTTGACGAAGTCATGATGGTCTGCAAAGAGCTGCTAGAGCTGCTCCCCGTCCCAGCCCGTTCAGACTACAGTACTGCAAGTAATAGTGGGACTGGGACCGGACCACCACCATTCACCCCAGCCAGCGTTAATGCTGGACATCCTGATCCCATTGGCGAGCCAACTCAAAGAGGAGGAGGACCGAGGATAAACTACATCACCGTATTACAAGTCGCGACATCGTACGCATACGCCCTGCAGCTGCTGGACCTTGCTGTGGATAATCTCAAGACCCGTGCTGGGAATCTGGCGCTCGTTAGCCTGGGTACCTTCAATCTTGCATCCCAGCCGGCCATGAGTACCTCTGTGGGTGCTTATATGATTTCTAGCATGGTTCATCAGCTGCGTGATGCTATTAGTCTCTTGACGCCTCAGGGGCCACCACCACCGCATGTATCATCTGCGGCTGCGAACAATTCGATACAGGCTGCGGTGGATATGGTTTCTGAGAAGGAGACGTCTTTACTGGAGAAATTGGCGCAGGTTATGATTAATTCATAGTTACGATTTCTCCCAATACCTAGAATCATTAGACAGGCTTCAACCCGTGTGATTAGGTACCATGAACAAGACTCTTATCACCCTGTACGACATTGTTACTGATGACTTGTTTCTGACCTGTCGAAGCACTATATCTTTGGTATCAGTAATCTCCCAGCCTTCAACAGTAGAAGTCGCCGGTCCGGTAAATGCCCTGAAGTCCAGAGGTTAAGTAATACAGCACACACAGCGTCTTATTAAAGACAAGACACGCTTCTTGAAAATGAAAAGACCATCCAACAGACCGGCTAGGCTAAGCCCAATCCATTCACACCACCACCACCACCAGCAACAACCCAACCCAACACAGGCCAGCCACAATCCAGAGTCCAGCACAAATGAACCCAGAAACGAAACCCGCTATAATCCGCCTCCACGGCCACGGCAGCAGCGGGGAGATCTTCCAAACCCAGGCCCAAAGGCTCACCCAAGTCCTATCCCCCCACTTCCGCTTCCTCTTCCTCAACTCGCCCATCACAACGCCCCAAGCCGGCGTCGGCGTGCAGCCCTACTACGCACACATCAAGCCGTACAGACGGTGGCATCAAGACGGAAACACAATCGGGCTATTCGACGTCACGGCGGAAGATGTCGAGCGGGAACGCCGGGTTGTACGGGATTCTTTGAAGGATGTTATTGAGCGCGAGCGCCGAAATAATGGACCGGGGGCCGGGGTTGTCGGCGTGATGGGGTTTAGTCAGGGGACGAGGGTTGCGACGGCGGTTTGTCTTGACCCTGAGCTGGGGAGGGACATCAAGTTTGCGATTCTGATTTGTGGGATTTGTCCTTCGTTGCCGTTGAGTGCTGCTGAGACGACGCAGGTATCGCGGCCGCTAGATATTGTGTCTGTCCATGTGCAGGGGAGTGGTGATCCGTGGTCGGCGAAGGGGACGAGGTTGTCGAAGCAGTATTTTAATCAGAGGCTTGCGACGGTGGTCAGGTTTAAGGGGGGGCATGAGATTCCGGTGAAGACGGGTGATGTGCAGAGTATTGCTGAGGTTATGGGAGTATGATTCTGTCTAGAGAGATTGGTTTATAAATGTATATCTCTCTGCAGCAATTGCTTCTATGTTTATTTCTCCTCGACCGAGAACTTATACGTTGCAAACCGCGTATACAGTCCGTCCATCCCCCAAATGGTCTTCCTGTGTCTCCATTCCGGGTGGTGCACTGCATCTGGCCAGTCTTGCATCTCTAGAGATATCGCCCCGTGCTGAGGGACTTTGCCTGGCCCTTGACCTTTCTTCAACTGCAACCCTAGACACTTGTCAGTTGACTCCAAAACCTAGTTTGTAGGTATTACCCAAGTTATTATCCCACGTATGAACATGGAGAGCGTCCTGGTCCGTGTAAAGTTCCATGGTGACACCAGACAGCTTCGAGGAGAGGATCGCCACAGGCTCATCTTCCTTGTCGCCCAACGGTTTATGGGAGAGCGCATAAGTCACATCAAATCCGGCATTACCACCCTTCTGAACCTCCTCGCCAATAGACTTATCCGCAGACCAAAAGTCGAACTCCTTCCCCTCCCTATTACTCTTCATATCCCCCGTCGGAATCCCCCGCTCATCAACATCGAACCGCATCCCAGCAACAGGAAGCCTCAGCCTATGATCAAGCACCGTACTATCACCAGCATTATTCCTAAACCCATCAAGATTAAAGAAAACCTGCCGACTCAAATTAATCGGGCACGAGGCAAAGATCCCAGGGAACCCATTCCACCTGTTATCAAACAGCACGAATGTAATGCTGTTGTTGATATGCACTGCGATGTCCCAGGTCAGTCGGCCCCAGCCCTTATCTCCGCCGTTGAATAGCGAGGTCGCGTTGTGTGCGTTTGCGGTTACGGGGTAGATTGTTCCGTCGACTGGGTAGCTGGAGTTGCTTAGGAAGCCGGCGTATCGTCCTGTCGTTGATGGAATCAGCTTAGGTATTTAACTGCAGAAAAAGAAAGAGAAAAGGTAATAACCTATAACCCCATTCAAAAACGGATTCGACTGCAGCGATGGATAACCCGTCGCATCGTCCAAGCCCAGTACAACATCGATCTCCTCGCCATGGGTATTATTCAGCCAGAGATTTGTAAGGGCTGCGCCGTGGTTTGTAAAAGCCAGTCGAATGCCTTCGGATTGAATGATGAATTTGCCCTCTTCGGTTGTTGGCTATAGGGCTGTGAGTGCGGCGAATGGGCTGCCGCGTGTCCAGACGGACTTTACGGCGGCGAGGATGCCGACTGAAACTTTCCAGAGGTTCATTGCTGCTCTGCAACTCGACTGTAAGCTCTTCCAGAATGACGGCTGTACTGCATTTTGTTTCTTAAATACAAAAATGTGTCTTGTTGCTGACCGGCGACTTTTGGCTTGGACGGCGGCATCCCCTATAAATAACCCTAAGTCCCTAACTGAGGTAGAGGTGATCCTAATCTTCCAGTCCTTAGACTTCCACAAACTTAAGCCTTCCGTAAACCCCTTCTGCCGACTTCTTCGTCTGCCCGAACTTCAACCTCCCCGCCGTATCAGGATTCGCAAGCTCAATCTCAAACGTAGACAACACCGCCGCAACAAGACACTCAAGCGTCGCCCGGGCAAAATTCGCTCCAATGCAGTTCCGTGGACCCGCCCCAAATGTAAGCATGGCATAATTACTCGAAGAACCACCAGACTTCGCCTTCCCCTCGCCCATCCACCGCTCCGGATTGAACTGATCCGCATCAGGCCCCCAAAGCGTCTTGTCATGGTTCGACACCTCCGCCGAGTACAGCACAACCGTGCCCTTGGGGATCCGCTGGCCCATCAGCGTAGTTTCCCGCTGTGCAACTTTCACAATAATCGGCGAGAAGGGATAGCACCGGAGCACCTCACTGCAGAACGCATTCAAGTAAGGCAGATGATCCTGAACCCGTAATAATCCAAAGTCCGCAGCCGCCAGATCCGTGCCTATTGCCTCTCGCAGCTCGTCCCTTAACCGGCTTATCCTCCTCGTTCCCCTCCCCACCAAACGGCTCTGGCCATCCAAGCCTTTTCCCAAGCAGCGTCGGGCCAAGCACCCCGTCTGGCACAACCGTCTTGGGCCGGGTATGCAGGAACTCAGGGTAGGGTTCCAATGCGGTGTATTTGCCCCCCGACCGGCCGAGGCATTTGTAGCAGAACTGCATTGTCTCTGGCTCTGAAATGCAGTCGAGGACGAATTTGAGTGAGTTTCGAGTGTGTTTGCGGATCTCGTCTGCGCATGTCTCCTGGCGGTAGTCGAAGACTGCCGTGGCGCCGTAGGATTTCACGAGGTCGAAGTTGTTTGGTGAGCAGGTTGTTATGGGATTCAGGCCCGATAGTTTAAGCAACTGAATCGCCAGAGTCCCAGTCGCAGTGCTACCCCCATACACCAGCACATCCACCGGTTTGCTAGCCGGCAACCCAGGCGAACCAGGAACATCCAGCGACTTGAACAGCGCAAGCCCAATAGTCCCAATGCCACTTCCCAGGGTGACCGCTTCTTCAAGCGACATATGATCCGGGACCTTCATGGTCGTAAGATCCGTCGCGCCAACATACTGCGCAAACGCGCCCACCGCAGGAGTGAGAGAGTGCATCCCCGGCACTGCGCCGCAGATTCGGTCGCCTGGCTGGATGGGCGCGGCGGTTTGGACTTTGGAGCCGATGGAGATGACTTCGCCTGCAAAATCCATTCCGGCGATTGCGCCGGGGCTTGCGAGCTTGCCGACCATTTTGGTGTCGATTGGGTTTAGGGCGACGAAGGCGTTCTTGACTAGGATCATGTCGTCTTCTAGGGAGGGGATTTGGATGTCGTTGCGTAGGCCGAGTGTGCCATCGTCGAGAGCGACGATGGCGGTTTGATTGGAGGGTAGCTCGGACATAGCAAAAAATATAGCGACGAAGTTCCTAGCAATCTAATAAGTATGATGGTTAGGGTTAGGAATTCCTCCACTCCGGGCGAGCGTAAGATCACCAGAACTAGTACGTAGATAAGCTCTGGAACTTTTCAATTTTAGATATAAGATTAAGTTGCCGGTTCTCGTATACCAACCGGAGTATGTCTTGTGTCTTGTCCTTACGGCCCCCAGCCGGCGTTGGCCAGCTCGCGCGAGGCGTACTTAGGGCTAGCGATCTTGTCATCTTAGCATAGGTAGCCACTTTGATAGAACTGCTGTATTATATTATATTATATATAGTTAGAGGATTGTAGAGAAGTGGTTTGGCAATCAGGACGCAGGATTCACCTCCCAGTTTTCTTGATATCATCAACCCTTCGTCTCGAAGCCTCATACCTCATACCTGATTCCTGAATCCATCCTCCCACCATGAACGAACCCATCGCCATCGTAGGCATGGGCTGCCGCTTCCTAGGTGAAGCCAGCTCCCCCTCCAAACTCTGGGACCTCCTCCACAACCCGCGCGACGTCGCCCGCGACATCCCCGACTCCCGATTCAACCTCGACCGCTTCTACCACCCAACCGGCAGCCACCACGGCACCACCAACATCCGCCAGGCCTATCTCCTTTCCGAAGACGTGCGCGAGTTCGACGCAAAATTCTTCTCCATCCCCCCAGGTGAAGCAGAGGCCATCGACCCGCAGCAACGCCTCCTCCTCGAGGTCGTTTACGAGGCCCTCGAATCCTCAGGCCATACGCTGGCCGACCTGTCCAACTCAAATACCGGCGCCTTTGTCGGCCTCATGTCCCAGGACTACTTCGCGCTTAATGGCCAGGATGTGAACTCCGTCCCGACTTACGCTGCGTCCGGTACGGCGGCGAGTAATGCCTCCAGCCGACTCTCTTACTTCTTTAACTGGCATGGCCCGTCCATGACGATAGACACCGCCTGCTCATCTAGTCTCGTCGCGGTGAATGAGGCAGTCCAAGCCCTTCGAAACGGCACGAGCCGCGTTGCTGTAGCTTGTGGGACAAACTTGTGTTTGTCAGCCTTTACGTTCATCACGTTGAGCAAGCTCAGTATGTTGTCGCCGACGTCTCAATGTCACATGTGGGATGTCGACGCAGATGGCTACGCCCGAGGTGAAGGCGTTGCTTGCGTTGTTTTGAAGACTCTCAGCAATGCGATTGCAGACGGGGACCATATCGAAGCCGTGATTCGGGAAGTGGGCGTGAATCACGATGGCAGGACGAAGGGGTTGACTATGCCCAGTGCTACGGCCCAGGCGGCGCTCATTCGAGACACTTATGCCCGCGCTGGGCTGGATCCGACGAAGGAGGCTGATCGGTGTCAGTATTTTGAAGCGCATGGCACGGGAACGAAAGCTGGGTGGGTTGAATTCTGTACACTGTTGGAAACCGAAAAGACTAATAGGCCATGTTTTAGGGACCCTCAAGAAGCCGAAGCCCTGATGAGAGCGTTTTTCCCTGAGTCTGATTCTGAAGGCGAACTCTTCGTCGGGTCTATCAAGACCGTGGTCGGTCACACCGAAGGCACAGCGGGACTGGCAGGTCTCATGAAGGCTTGTCTTGCTCTTCGCAATGCAACCATTCTCCCAAATTTACTGTTCAATAAATTAAACCCTGACCTTGAACCGTTTACAAGCCATCTCCGTGTTCCTACGGCCAATCAACCTTGGCCTGAATTGCCAGATGGTAAACCTCGAAGGGCTAGGTTAGTTGAAGATTGTCAAACCCTTTCGGATAACAGCTAATTGTGTGTCAATAGTGTCAACAGCTTTGGTTTTGGAGGGACCAACGCTCACTGCATTCTTGAAACATACTATCCACCAACGCCCAGTGACCCAGTCCCTGAAATAGAGACGGCCACATCAGGAACATGCTGTATTCCAGCTGTATTCACTGCAGCATCTGATAACTCGTTGGTGGCACTCCTGCAGTCCACACTTGAATTCATGGACAAGAACGCAGACGTCAATATCAGTGGACTGGCATACAACTTGAGCACCAAGCGCTCTGCTCTGCAGCGAAGACTCGCACTATCCGCTGCATCGATCGACGAGCTTCGCGAAAAGATCAAGTCCACGATAGAAGCCGCTTCAGAGAAAGACGCCACTTTACCCTCCACTTCAGCTTTACCTGGAACTGCTTCATTGCTCGGCGTTTTCACCGGCCAGGGCGCTCAGTGGCAAGGCATGGGGTCCCAGCTTATATCGTCGATCCCGCTGGCCCGGAGGACCGTCGAAGAGCTGGATTCATCTCTCGCAAGCTTACCGTCCTACCACCGCCCATCCTGGACTCTAGCCGACGTACTTACTGACAGCACTGCGCCCGTCGGCGAAGCCTCTCTTTCGCAGCCTCTCTGCACGGCTGTCCAAGTCATCCTGGTTGACCTGCTCCGCGCTGCGGGAGTCAAGTTCCAGGCCGTTGTTGGGCATTCCTCTGGAGAGATTGCTGCTGCCTATGCGGCGGGCTTCATCACTGCATGGGATGCTATCCGCATTGCATACTACCGGGGATTCTACGCCAATATGGCGGCCGGGCCGGCGGGAGAGAAGGGCGCAATGCTGGCTGCCGGGACCTCCTTTGAGGATGCCAGTGAACTTTGCCAGCTTGATGACTTCGATGGGAGGATCTGCGTGGCTGCCCATAACTCTCCTACCAGCGTGACTCTGTCGGGTGATATCGACGCTATAACCCAGGCACAGGGGGTGCTTGAAGAGGAGGAGAAATTCGCCCGGATTTTAAAGGTCGACACCGCGTACCACTCGGCCCACATGCTTAAATGCTCTGCATCTTACCTTACGGCATTGAGAAACTGCAACATACAAGTCCGACAGCCCCGGCTCGATGCACCGCAGTGGTTCAGCAGCGTCCGAGACGGTCAGGTCATCAATAGCCCGGAAAGTCTGGACGGCCAATACTGGGTCGATAAAATGCTCCAGCCCGTGTTATTCTACCCAGCTGTTGAAACATGCTTGACATCTGCGGACGAAGCCATCAACTGCGGCGTAGAGGTCGGGCCGCATCCTGCTTTGCAGGGACCTGCGAAGGATTCCATTCTTGCCGCTGTGGATCGGGAAATCCCATATAGTGGCACCTTGAACCGTGGAAAGAGCAGTGCGGTGGCATTTTCCGACGCACTTGGATTCCTTTGGAGTCGGTTTGGCCCTGCTGCTGTGACGCTCGGAGCTTTCCAGCAGACAAATTACCCGGATACTCCGACTACGATGATCCACGGTCTTCCAACGTACCCATGGACTCATGACAGGGGGTACTTTGCCGAATAAAGACTCATCAAGACCTTCCACAACCACCCGGTGCCCTTCCATGACTTACTAGGCATCCAGATGGCAGACGGAGCAACGGAGGAATGGAGGTGGCGGAATATCCTGAAGATGAATGAACTCAAGTGGCTGTCGGGACACTCGCTCCAAGGCCAGGTCGTCTTTCCCGCAACAGCTTACATCTGCCTTGCCATGGAAGCAGCACTGCAACTGGCCCAAGGGAGACCCGTGAAATCAATCGATCTCTTCGATCTTGAAATCCGCAAAGCCATCGCCATCCACGACTCCACAGGCACTGAGCTCCTCACATCCATGACCAAGGTGTCTACCCTCGACACCGAGTCGGAAGAAATCACCGCTGACTTCGCGGCCTACTCAACCATAAGCAAAGACGCTGCCAACCTTGCGCTCAACTGCTGCGGTCGTGTGCGTGTGCTTCTAGGAGAGGGCGAGGACTCGGCATTCCACTTCTCACCTAGACTTCCCCCACTCGGAAAACTGACCGCAGTAGACGTGGACAGCTTCTACAAGATCCTGCGAGATGACTTCGGATTCGGATACGAGGGCCCCTTCCGCGCGCTCACGAATGTGTCCCGCAAAGCCGGCTTCGCGACGGGAACAATTCGGTGCGAGAGGTTCGACGATTCCGAAACGCTTCTGCTCTTCCATCCCGGTATGCTGGATAGTGCCTTGCAGGGTCTGAACGCTGCCCATAGCGCCCCTGGAGATGGCCGGCTCTGGACGATCGTGGCGCCAACCTTCTGTCGTCGGATCTCGATCATCCCTGGACTCTGCGGCAGCAACATGACAGATAATGTTGAGATCGACTGCAATATCACTGATCCTCGCGATACGCACGTCACTGGAGATGTGGAGGTCTTCTCGGAGGGTTTCAAGGAGAAGATTATCGAGGTTGAGGGGCTCACCTTCTCCCCGTTTGCGGGTGCGACTGTTGAGAACGACCGGTATCTCTTCCAGGAGTCGTTCCTGTGCCTTGATAAGCCGAACGCGGATGTTATCTTTGGGGATAGACAGGCGACTCCCAAGGAGAGCAGGAAGGCTCTTGACGCTGAGCGCGCGGCGTTTTACTACCTCAAGACCTTCCATCTCTCGGTCAGTCCGGAGCAGCGCGAGACCCTTCCGTGGTATCGACAGGCTTTGCTGAAGAACGCTGAGCGGCTGTTCCACATTGTCAATGACGGGAAACATCCGTTTGCCTCGCAGTCTTGGGTGAGTGATACCAGAGAGGATATATTCAAGATGATGGGCAGCTATCCTCCGACAGACGCCGATTTCAACCTGACCAAGGCCGTCGGAGAACATCTTCTTCTGCCTTCGGTGCTGAATGGAGATACCAGCATCCTGCAATACATGACCAAGGATAACTACCTTGAGCAGTACTATGTAAATGCCATCGGGTTCCAGCTGCTGAACTTCTTGATTGCCGGGGTGATGGAACAGCTTTGCTTGAAGTCTCCCCGAATGAACTTCCTTGAAGTCGGCGCCGGAACTGGTGGCGCGACCAAGGCGATCCTGGAGAAGATCGGGTACTCCTATGCATCTTATACGTATACCGACATTTCCAGTGCCTTCTTCGGCCATGCTGCAGACCACTTCCAATCGCACGTCAGCAAGATGATTTTCAAGACCTTGGATATCACGAAGGACCCCGCTGGACAGGACTTCACCCCGCAGAGCTATGATGTTGTCGTTGCCTCCAATGTCTTGCACGCGACCGAGTCATTGAGATCCGCCCTTGAACATACACGAAAGCTCTTGCGTCCTGGTGGCTATCTTGTGATGGTTGAGATCATCCGCAACGACGTGATGCGCCACGGTCTCGTCATGGGCGGTCTCCCAGGCTGGTGGATCGGCGAGAACGATGGTCGTTACGGGGGCCCAAGTATTACTCTTGAGGAATGGGATAAGATTCTTCGAGAGACCGGCTTCAGTGGTATCGAGACCAATTCGCCCATGCGGGACCCAGTGGGCGTGCCCGGATCCATTATCGTTTCTCGGGCTCAAAATGATCTCGTCAGCCAGTTGAGCAGGCCTCTCAGCTCAAAGTCTAGTACGGCAACAGACAAAACTCCCGTACTTGTTATAGGTGGTAGCAGTCCATTTGTATCGCCGTTCAGGGACCAGCTCTGTCTCAATCTGAGGCCGCAGTTCGCAGATGTCATTAAAGTTGACCAGTTCGCGGATCTGCCACCACTTCCTGAGAGCTACCATGTCCTCAGTCTCACGGAGTGCGACGCAAACTTGTTCGAGGACATGGAGGAGTCTGTCTTCTCGAATCTAAAGACAGTGCTGGGCTCTGCATTGAGTGTACTCTGGTTGCTCCAGGATCGTCGATCGAATAATCCCCATGCCGGAACTACGCTCGGTCTCTTCAGAACGCTTTTCTACGAAGTTCCCGGGACCCTATTGCAGACTCTGGATATTGACGCCGTCGATATGAATGACTGCTCATTCATTGCAAAGTCAATGTGCCAGCTCAGGCTCCAGTCGGACATGGCCAGACGTGGTGAGACGGATGAGATACTCTGGGAGTTCGAACCAGAACTCGTTCTCAAGGACGGCCAGCTTTATGTCCCAAGAGTTCGTCCGCATGATGGGCAGAACAATCGATACAACTCATCCAAGAGATCAATTACTCACAATGTGGACGTGCACACGACGCCTTTGGCTCTAGATCTGGTCGACGACTCGTACATGGTACGGGAGCAGCACGCCATAGAGAGAGATTCACCTGAGCTTGTTACAGTCAGTGTATCTTGCTCTTTCTTGTCGTCAATAAAGACCCCAGTGGGATATGTATTCGTCAGTCTCGGAGAAGATGTCAAGATAGGAGAAAAGACACTTTGTTTCACCAGCCGCAACGAGTCCATCGTCAAGGTCCCCAAGTCCTGGACGATGTCCCTTGACGAGGTCGAGGTTGACGGACAATTCATGTCGTTTGTCATTGCCGATCTCACAGTCCAATGGGTGTTGCAAATGCTGCCACCCACAGGAACGGTGCTGGCATACGAGCCAGATCCAGTTGCAGCATCTCTGCTATCTCAGCAGTTGAACAGGCTCGGCAGGAAGGCTCTTTTCATGACTTCTAGTCCTGAAATGTCCGGCCGAAACTGGGTGTACCTTGATCCTAACAGCACCAAGAGAGCCATCACTGCCCTCTTACCAGCCGACGTTACCCTGTACGTGGACGCCTCCGGAGCCGACGAATCTCATTTCCAAAGTCTCGGATCCAAGATTGCGACCTCCCTATCATCGGTCTGTGACGAGGTCAAGATGTCTAGCCTGACTGCATCAGAAGCGTCCGTTCTTCCGCACGATGCCCCTAAAGCCATCACAGATCTGCTCCGTCGCGTTGCTTCCTTCGCTTCCTCCTTGCTATCCGCACAAGCAACCCCAGAGGGCGCACCACTTGATATCTTACCACTCAAACGGGTGGTTGCGAACTTTGTAGTACCAAATCCCAGCTCGCTTGTTTACTGGCAAGAGGATCAATACGTGCCGGTCTCTGTTGAGCCCGTTACGCAACGTGGTGATCTGTTCCGTCCCGATCGCACCTACTGGCTAGCTGGTCTCGCCGGAGACACTGGCCGATCCCTGGCCGACTTCATGATTGCCCACAATGCTCGGAATATCGTGCTAAGCAGCCGTAAGCCCACTGTCGACGAAGACTGGGTGCAATGGCACAAGTCAAGAGGTGCCACAGTGAGGTATTTCGGAGGGTAAGCAAATGACTCATCCGCTTGAAACTTAACATCGCTAACCACCTTTGTTTCTTAGGGATATCACCAGCTTCGAATCCATGAAACAGATCCATGACGCTATCAAGGAGTCCATGCCGCCCATTGGGGGTGTTGCGAATGGCGCCATGGTTCTGCGAGACAGTTCCTTCATGAAGATGAGCTTCGACGATTTCCAAGCGGTCCTAGGTCCCAAGATCCAAGGCACGATTAATCTCGACCGGCTCTTCTCCGATCCCAACCAACCACTCGACTGGTTCATCGGGTTTAGTTCGATCGCCGCAACCGTCGGCAACCCGGGACAATCGGCGTACACCGCTGGAAACTGTTTCATCAAGGGACTTGTCGACCGGCGGCGTAAGCAAGGCCTGGCTGGATCAGTAATTGACATCACTCGATTAGTGGGGCTGGGCTTTATCGAGCGTGAAAGCCACGGCCGTCTGACAAAGGAGCACCAGGAGCGTCTAACTACGCGGTCTGGGACTATTGCGATGAGTGAGAATGACCTGCACCAGTTGTTTGCAGAGGCGATCTTGTCCGGACGACCGGACCTCGGTCTCAACCCGGAGATCATTACAGGTCTGGCGCCCATCACTGTTGAGCAGTCGAAGGACGCATACTGGAAGACCAATACGAGGTTGTCGCTGTTGATCAGGGAGGTAGGACAGGGTGATACACAGGGTGGAGAGAGGGGTAACGCGGTTCCTCTGCGACAACTGCTAGAAGCGGCCAAGACAATGCAAGACGCGGCGAAGGTGCTTTCAGGTACGTGAAATTATGCTTCAATACCCCTTACCCAGCCGCTGACAAGTCCATTTAGGTGCCTTCAAAGGAAAGCTGCAAGCGTTGAAATTCCTGTCGGATTCTGACAGCTTGTACGACACTACGCCTCTAGTGGACATGGGTGTCGACAGTCTGGTAGCTGTGGAAGTAAGGTCTTGGTTCTTGAAGGAGCTCGCAGTCGACGTGCCGGTCATGAAGATTCTGGGCGGCGCCTCCATCACGGATTTGGTGGAGGTTGTCGTGCAGAAGCTTCCCCAGGAGCTATTGAGTCGGTTAGATCCCGACGGGCAGCGTAAGAGCAGCAATGCGATGTGCCAGCTACTGTCGCCGACAAGGAAGAAACGGTGGAATCAAAGACCAACGGCATTGACAGCGCTCGTTCCAGTGGTGTTAATGGTGTCAACGGCACTCATGACACTCATAGCACTAACGGTGTCAACGGTGTCAATGGCGTCAACGGCCTCAACGGTATCAACGGTATCAACGGTATCAACGGTATCAACGGTATCAACGGCACTCATGACACTGATATGGATAGCACCACGAACCTCAATGGCACCAACGGGACCGTGGTCATCGAGGAAAAGTTGGAGCACAAAACCACGAATGGCGTTGTTCCGATCATTATCAGTGGGCAGGAGGTTGCCTAAGATCGAAGACTTGGTGTTCATGTTTGATAATATTAGTCAACTCAGATGGGAAAAAAGGGGGTGTGGCTATAGGGGCAAGTGAAACAACTGCAGCGACTGGAAGGGTGTAGAATATTAGGGGGGATTCAGGGAAGAGGATGGTTAGAACAGTGAGGGGACAGTTCTTATATACTTAAGGTCATGATGCAGGTGGTGTTTATAAGATAGTATATCAGGAGGCCATACCCAAAACAGCAAAACTAACCACAAAAGGAAATTCACGTCCTCACTTTACAGTGTAACTGTTTCTTCCATCTCCGAATCTCTTAATCTCCCCTTTTCTTCGTCGCGACCACTTTGGAAAATCAATTATTTGCATGCTTTATGATCTCATGACTTTATAGCCCAAATAAATCTTATATCCAAGCCAATGCGCGGTCAACTTCCAGTCGCGTCCTCATGTCCCTCCTCCGCCTTCTCCTATCCCGTGCCCTCGTCGTGCTCGTTCCACTTGCAATAACGTTCAGTCTCTACCTCTACCTCTATCCAATCTTCCAGGGCTGCGCATTTCCACTTCCAATCAAGAAGAATGAGCGTCCACCTGATTCGTTCAGTCCGGCGTATAGTCCACTGGTCCACACCCTTTCGCAACACATTGGACAGCAGCCCGCAAGCAAGCCAGCGGCCTTCAGGCTGCTAGTTCTCGCAGATCCCCAACTAGAAGGTGATAGCTCTCTCCCTAGTCCCGACGAAGAGCTCCCTTCCCGGATCAAGCAGCACTGGACTGCAATCAGGTCATCTGTAACGGAGTCCGGATCGCCCTTCCACCGCGATGTCCTCGGCAATGTAACTGCCGCGCTGCGCACACTCGCGCACGAAGACGTTCCACGCTCGCTTCTGGCCGCGAGAAAGCGACTCGATTTACTCGGGAACGATTTCTATCTTGCGCATATATATCGTACGCTGCATTGGTGGACACGTCCTACGCATGTCACGGTGCTGGGGGATCTGATTGGAAGTCAGTGGGTTACCGATGAGGAATTCGAGCGGAGGGGAGACAGGTACTGGAATCGGGTGTTCAGAGGGGGCGAGCGGGTCAGCGATGAGATTACGGTCACTGGGTCGGCGGGGTATGGAGCGGGTTCTGGGGATGTGTCTGGGTTGGAGGAGCTGAATGCGACGCACTCGACATGGAGTCGGAGGGTCATCAACATTGCTGGGAACCATGATATTGGGTATGCGGGAGATGCCAGCGAGGCGCGGATTGAGCGATTCGAGCGAATTTTTGGGCGCGCGAACTGGGATGTTCGCTTTCAATATACCCGCGAGTGCCAAACTGACAATACAGCAGACGCTGCTGTCAGCAAGCCTACCCTGCACCTGATCAATCTCAACACGTTGACCCTGGACGGACCAGCGCTATCCGAACAAGTCCAGTCGAACAGCTACGCCTTCATCAACGATCTCATCACCCATCGCACGTACCCCGTCGAAGATCGGACAACCTTCACCCTCCTCCTAACCCATCTGCCCCTACATAAGAAGGAGGGTATCTGCACCGACGGACCGTACTTTACCTACCACGAGTCCGACGACGAAGACGGGCCAGATGGTATGCCCCGCTTCAAGGCGGCAGGACTACAGGAGCAGAACCATCTGAGCGAGCAGCTCAGCGCCACCGGCGTCCTCCAAGGGATCTATGGCATGAGCGGCGACGAAGATGTTCCAGGAGGAGGCTGGGGCCGCAATGGGCTCATCCTCAACGGCCACGACCACACCGGATGTGACGTCGTCCACTTCGTCAACCGGTCGATCACCACAGACACAGGGGACGATACACCCCAGCAAACGTGGAAGTGGGACGCAAGACGCTACAGTGGAGTCCCGGAAGATAGATCGGATACGCCCTCCATCCGCGAGGTCACTCTCCGAGCCATGATGGGCGACTACGGCGGCAACGCAGGTCTTCTCTCCGTGTGGTTTGATGCCAACCCGGCCGTGAACGAATGGAAGTATGAAATCACCATGTGCATGGCCGGAGTCCAGCATATCTGGTGGGCGATCCATGTAATCGACATCGTGACCGTTTTGCTTCTTTTGGTATATACTCTTTTGCCTAGATCCACTGGACTGAAGAGACAAACAGCAAAGTCTGTATCTGCGAAAGGTCCGCAAGTCAAGAAGTCTTAGACGGATCTCGGATATCTTGAAGGTTTGATCATGACATTGAGAGCATCAGCAGCGAGCGACTTGCCTTTTCGTTTTTCCTTGAGTTGGATTCCGTTGTACCATACTGATCTTGTGTTTATATACCATTGGCTGTTTCTATTCTCGATTTCTCAAACAAGTATATAATTTTGGTTACGTCTATGTTCAGGAATATTGGGTCTGTATTGTGTCGTTTGAACGAATAGTCTTCGTTGGAAGAATCCCAGAGGAAGTGGTTGCAACAGGATAGAGACCGGCAGTCGTTTCCCTTCAATTACTTGTCGCTAGAATGGAGCTGGCTCCATCAGAGCTCTCGCGGTCATTTCAGTCACCGGTAGAAGCATGCTCAGAAGATATAAAGAAGAGGGAACGATTTTGAATATTTTTTGTATTTCCGAATCGCCAGTAGAAGAAACAATAGAGAGACACGTCATTTAGGACAGAGATGCGCGGCTTTAGATGAGATCGGACCCGTTCATGCAAGTTCGTGGTTTTGTGTCATGTGCACCGAAAAAAAAGATGATTTCATTCCCTGGTATCGCTGCTTCTATCTCTCCCTGACTTCCTAATGTCACGACGCCTTTTTGCATTGATTCTTTTACATAACGACACCGGAGTTGGAAGCAATACGCTATTTGACCGAGGATTAGCAACCGTGCTGTAACCCGAGCATGTGTCGAAAATAATAGGGAACTTACGGGCCAGAGCTCAGCAGCCTCCTTACCGACGGGGCCGGTGATGGCGGATCCCTTCATCTCACCCTTGGCGTTGACGATCTGCAATAGATGGAGGCGATTAGCATTCATTCTTGGATCTGTCATAGCCGATAGCGATGGCCTCGTTCATATCTCGGAATCAAACGGTCGAATCGTAGCCGCCGCTCCGTAAAGCCAGAAATAAGAGAAAAAGTATGTACTCACCACACCAGCGTTGTCCTCGAAGTACAGGTAGATACCGTCGGGTCTTCTCCAGGGCTTGCTCTGACGGACGACAACGGCGGGCATGACCTTCTTACGGAGCTCGGGCTTTCCCTTCTTGACGGTGGCCATGACCATGTCACCGACACCGGCAGCGGGGAGACGGTTCAGGCGGGCACCGATTCCCTTGACCGAGATGATGTACAGGTTACGGGCACCGGAGTTGTCGCAGCAGTTCATCACGGCGCCGCTATATCACAAAATAAGATGTTAGTCTATGATTCGTCCTTGTCTGCCATGTCGAACACATTTGATTGGGAGAGTTGATTTGATGGTTGGTTGAGATGTAGGCAGGTTTTTCGTGATGATGAATGACGGGTTGTGTAGGCTCGAAGGAAACAGTTGGAGACAGGTCACTTCGACAATCGTGTTCGACTCGACAGAGTAGGAATTGCAATAACGTACCAAGGCAGACCGAGGGTCATCTTGAGCTTGTTGCCGGAGGCGGCACCACGACTGTTCGAAAAATCAATCATCAGCATTTCATTCCCTCAATATCTGGCCCTTGTGAGATTCTCAATATCCCCTTCATCCCAGCGCAATTTCTCTCAAAAATGCCGCTCAACAGCAACCCGTCCCAAAATTCTTCAGTTCCTCCTCTTATTTCAAGAGTAATCCACCTCACGCTTCACGGTCTCCAGCCATCAAAGAACCGTCCACCACCTGTGCGCTCTTTTTCGACCGCGCAGCGCTCCGCAAAACCCGGAAAAAGGATCATTGTGACTCACCCTCTCTTAGACATCTTGGCTAGGTATCACGTAGTCGGTGTCGGATACTGGGAAAAGGGCGAAAGGGCGACGAAGGTCGAGAGGGATCTGGGCGACGTCGAGGGTTTGCACGGCGGTTCGGGTTTCGAATTGCTCTCGCTTAGTGTGCGTGGTGTGTAAAATCTTGGCGCTTTATCGCCATTGGCTCTTCTGCCCCGCCTTGGAGAATAGAGCGTGCCCTAATGCTAAGCTTCAACAGGACTAGACTGTGCTTACCTAACAATGCTCTTGATGAAGAGTTAACTTAGGTACTGTCACGGAAGGGTTGAAGAAACCGCCTTCCTTATCAGGTTGGTGGCTACTACGGTCTTCCTCACTTACCTGGACTTCCCTCCTGTTTTCCCTTCTTCTTAGAATGTATCTACAATTATCAACAAGACATCAAGAATCCAGTCATTTTCATCAGTTTCTAAGTTCGAAATAGCAGTACGGAGTAGCTCGTGCCTGCTTACCTACGTACGAGGGATTGGTTCATGAAAGGTAGCATGCTAGCAAATAGAGAATGAAAACAATGTCATATTGGACCATATCTTACTCGAGAAAAGAAGCAAAAACTAGCACCAGGATGTAAAGAAAATAAGAGGCCACCTCATAGAACATATGCAATGATTTCGAGAGCCCGAAACACCATGCTACCATTGCCCTTTACGCCAGAAACTTCCAGTGGATGGACGCCTTCACAGACAGAGAGCGGAACATCAATTTCCGCTTTTCTCAGGCTCCTCAGGCTGCTGTTTTGAGCTTACTTCTGCGGATTGGCTGCTTGTCTTGTTTTCACCAGCATCCTCAGAAGTTTCCTGCTCGGCTTTCACAGCCTGTTGGTCGATAGGAGCCTCAGGGGTCTTCTCCTTGGCCTTGACCTCTACCGATTCCGTCGCATCTTTCGTTTCTGGCTTGTCCGAGACGTCCTGCTCGCCTGAAGTAGGCGAAGCCTTGATGGGGGATGAAGGTTCTGGCACTGCCTTTTCTGGAGCCGGTGTCTCTGTATTTTTCTCCTCTTCCTGTCCCTCGACTGACGACACTGGTTTCTCCGACTGCTCGGTTTCGGGGACAGGCGCGCCTGCGTCTTCCATCGTAGTGTCTTCATCCTGCGGCTTCGGGGATAGTTGGCGGGAAACAGCAGCGGAAGCAGCAACCTCTTCTGGCCCATCAACAGCCATCTCAGTAGGCTCCGCAGCAGCTTTTTCGTCCTTCCTAGAAGTCGATCCGGCGGCGGATGGCGAGGGTGGAACGTCAGACTCGGGTAGGGGTGCTTCTGCCATTTTCGCGTCTGCAGTGGTATCCATCTCGTCATCCGGGACTGACGAAACTTCTTGCGGAGTCGCAATCCCGCTATCAAGCCCGGAGTCCAGGTCAGGATTCCGATAATTGACCTGGTTTCTGCGCTTCAGCGATTGAGGTTTGCGGAGAACCCCGTTGGCCGCATTCTCTTCCTCGTCTTCACTATCGCTGAGTTCACCAGGCTTCTCGATATACTGATCGAATCGTCGTTTCGTGAACCGTTTGTCCTTGTTTTCGTCTTCGTCCAGATCATCAAGGATTGCGTCTGCCTCATCGTCCATGCCTTCGACAAGAGGTTCGCGAGGTACGTCGGTCATCTGCACAGAGGGTGCAAAAGCCGTCCGCTTGAGATTTTCCACCACTTGAGCTCGGATCTTGTCCAGATAATCCTTCGTGTTGGCATTGTCCATATTCGATGGACGCACATCCAGCTCGTAGTCCGGTGCAAAGTACTAAGGTATTTCGTCAGCAACCTGCACGCATTCAGTATTCCAACTAGTATGGACCCACCTCGTAATAATCATTGTAAGGGAGTTGTGGACCTAGGCTTTCCCCTAGCAGAATACCAGTTTCGAACGCCCACGTCCGCGCAACATTGCGCATTGTGTAACCACCGCCACCGAGAATCATGGTCGGTAAATTGAAGCTCTTGACGAAGTTCACACAATTTGCGTGTCCTCTCATGCTCAAATTGAAACAACCTAGACGATCACCCGAGAGACTGTCACCACCACATTGAAGGACGACAGCTTCTGGGCGGTACCATTCCATGACACTTCGGATAACGGGCTCAAAAATGCTCTTGTACGAAATGTCATCAATGCCATCACGAAGTGGGAAGTTGACAGCGTAGTGCTTGCCCTGTCCCACTCCAATATCACGAAGCTCGCCGGTACCCGGGAAGTATTCTCCGTACTTGTGGAATGAGACAGTCATGACACGGTCAGTTGTGTAGAACGCTTCCTCGACACCGTCGCCGTGGTGAACATCGATATCGACGTAAAGGACTCTTTGCTTGAATCGTAACAGCTCGAGGATACCAAGAACGATATCTGTAAAAAGTGAGAAGATGTCGGTCGGTAATGACAATCGCCGCACAGGAAGATAAGCTTACCATTCACATAGCAGAAACCACTCGCTTCACTCTTCTTCGCGTGATGGAGGCCTCCAGCCCAGTTGACAGCGATGTCGCATTTGTTGCGGTTGAGGCGCGCCGCACCCTCCATGCTGCCTCCAGCGCTAATACCGCAGAACTCAAACAGCCCGTCGAAAACCGGACAGTCATCCCCAACATTATACCTGCCTTGTTCTTTGGAAAACTGATCCATGTTGTCTGGCGTAACTTTTGAAAGGAAGTCGATGTATTCGTCGGTGTGGAATTGTGTCATTTCGTACCTTGAGGCTGGTTTCGCACGCTGCGCCAATTTCCCATTAGCATTCTGCTTGAATCAAGCCCTTCAAAGTTCGTGAACACTCACGTAAATCTCCATCTTCTTGTAGAGACCATAGTTCATAACCAGGCTATGTGTCATCCTGATACGATGCGGCTTCATGGGATGCCCGGAAACATAGGCGTAATTACCTACGTCCGAGTCGTAGAAGTACGCAATCTTCTTGCTGCGATCAGCGGAGCCATTGAGATTCAAGTCAATCGGAGGAGCAGCCATTGTAAATGAGACTGTGCATGAATGCACAGGTATTCTTCACTCAGGACCGCGTAAAATTATGTGAGTTAAGCCGCGAGGCGGCAAAGTGGTATGGCTCGGATCGATTATAGAAGTGTTTGAGATTGGGTGATGATGAAGCAAGAAAACTGAACCACAGGTGTGAAAAGTTCGTTAGAGTTAGTTGATTTCTGATGAAGGAAATGAACCAGCCCTGATATGAGGAAACAGCACAATATGAAGGATTATGGTGCTGTTATGAAGTTCCCTCCTGTTAGATGGGGAGATTATAAGTGAGGGCGAACAAGAAGCGGAGGAAGCGAAGGGGAGGCCGAGCAAAGGCCGCAGAGGGGAGGCCGAGACTAGACGGAAGAGCTGCTCCCACCGCCTCCGTCAGGCTCACTGGATCTTGAGCTCGGTCACGCCCAGCTGGGATTGCTTAGATCTCCGGATCAGTGCGACTCAACCAACTAGCTTGTTTTATTTCTACAGTCATCCTTTTCTCCATCCAATCTCAACTCCTTCAACCGTGCTGTCTAACATTAGATTTCATTGACTTCTATTCGCGTCGACCTCCACGCGACAGAAAATCTGCCTGTGAAGTCGCCAACCAACCGCCGCGCCGTCATTGCTTCCATACAGGAAGCTATTCTCTACATTCTTCCCCAGTTCTTTCAGAGTCTTTGAGTCACCATGGATCGACTCAATCGGATGCTTCAGGCCGCCCAGGGCATGGGTATGGGGAGCGCAGCTCCAGGTGGTGTAAGTCAGCCCTTTGCGTCATTCAGGCTTTGCAACTCTGTAGCTTGTGACCGTCTATTCAAGGTCTTCTCCAAGGGCTTCTGCCACGGTTGAATGTCGATTCTTGATGGGATCGAGTCACTGAGAACGATGATTGCTGATGCTATACTTCTTGTAGGACACCCCGAACCTGATCGATAACTCGGAGACTGTACACATTTCATCACTAGCTTTGTTGAAGATGTTAAGACATGGTCGGGCAGGTGTGCCTATGGAAGTCATGGGTTTGATGCTGGGGGAATTTGTCGATGAATATACAGTTCGTGTGGTTGATGTTTTTGCCATGCCCCAGAGCGGTACTGGTGTCAGTGTTGAGGCCGTGGACCCCGTTTTTCAGACTAAGATGATGGAGATGCTTCGGCAAACTGGACGGTAGGTCTTAGCAGGATGAAGCAAGTTTGGAAGCTGCAGTGCTGATAGATTTTCGAAACACAGACCAGAAACCGTCGTTGGCTGGTACCACTCTCATCCTGGTTTTGGCTGCTGGCTTTCGTCCGTCGACATCAACACTCAGCAGTCATTTGAACAGCTCACTCCCCGAGCAGTCGCAGTTGTGGTTGATCCGATTCAATCCGTTAAGGGAAAGGTTGTCATCGATGCCTTCCGACTAATTCAGCCTCAGACCGTCGTCATGGGCCAGGAGCCCCGGCAAACGACATCCAACTTGGGTCACCTGAACAAGCCATCAATCCAGGCGCTCATCCACGGATTGAACAGACATTACTACAGCATCGCAATCAACTATCGCAAGACGGGACTGGAGGAGAACATGCTGATGAACTTGCACAAGCACGTGTGGACAGAGGCCTTGCAGATGAACGATTTCCATGAGGAAGGCCAGCACAACGTGGAGCAGATGAAGCAGCTAGTGAGCCTTGCTGAAGGTTATGAGAAGCGGGTCAAAGAGGAGACAGAGCTCACCAAGGAGCAACTCAAGACACGATATGTTGGAAAGGTTGACCCCAAGAAGCGTAAGTCCTACATCTGTCTTTCCTTGGTTTGCTTGTTATTGACCATTTTTACAGACATTGAAGATGTGAGTCAGCAACTGATCGAAGACAACATCGTTGCGGTATCGCGGCAGATGATTGACAAGGAGGCTTCGGTGGCGCGGTTGTCAAGCGGAAAGGGAGCTCAAGAGGGGACGGGCATGGATGTGGATGAGGAACTATAGATACACTCAGGAGGAAGATGAGAAATGCTAACTGACCTTTGTTCATATGATCTGGAGCTCTATGCTTGACTTCTATGGACCGAAGAGATGAAATTACAAATAGATAAATGATGCTTGATACACTATGAAAGGTTGAGCCAATGCGCTGAAACAAAAATGTGTTATACAACCCCCCAACGCCATGCTAGTGATTCAGCTTTGTAGAACTGCACAACTTCATGGGCTCTATCCGACGAGGATCACTATTTACTGGACTGAATTCTGGCAGTCGGCTTCTTCAAATTCCACTTGCTTCGGTTTTTGTTCATCCTCTATATCCCAGTCGGACCATCCTCGCTCTGGTCCCCAAAGAATCCTTTTCTGTGCTGCCCTCGCCTCATGTAGCAGGCGCTTCATTAGACTTCCACTTTTGGAAACGGATGGATAACCATCAAATTCCACTTGAACCACATGGGGCAATCTCTCCAGAACCTGCTTGAGGATCTTGCCCGCAAAATCGGTGTAGAAGCCTTTGGATATGCGAAAGCCTTCAAAGACAGGATGCGATGGGTCGCACTCAATGAAAACCTTCAATGTTCTAACGCGCACCATCTTTTCTAACCCCAACCGATTGTTCACCACCCACTCGCGAGGAGGCGAGGTCCAACTGGAGCCGAGAATCAGCTCGATCGTCGTCACGGAAGCCTTGTGTCTTGCCGGCAAAGCTCTGACAGTTGGCGTGCGGCACCAATCCTGAATTGGGAACACGCGGAAAGTCAGCGCCGAGTAGAAATAATCCGTAGCCTCGTCGTGGATACGCCGGGACACGAGGAACAGAGCGACACGGACCCGAAAGGGAGCGATGGGAGGATTCTTTGCTGAGGCGCCTACATTTCCGTTGGCTCGCCGCGGTTTCAAACGATAAGGTGTGAATAGGACAAGGTCATATATGCGCAGACGAATTTCGGAAGGAAGATCGAGGAAGCGAAAGGGCGTCAGAGGAATGGACTTCTCCTCGAGGATGTCCTCATCGTCTTGATTCTCACTTGGATCGGGTTCCGGTGGCGGGTCCTCGATCTTTACCTTCTCGAAAGCATCTGAGAGGGGGTCCATGTTGGCAAATAATGGAAGCCCGAGTCTAGGTACAAATACGCTGTGGATATTTAAGGAAAGGAGAATGGCCTTATGTCAAGTTCTGTGTTCATGCCATTTTTGTACTTAGCTGAGGATTAGTGACTTGTTTAGAAACAAGACCTCCTGAAGGGAGTATACATCAGCGGCCAGATATATATTGCGAGGAAAAGAAAAATTTGTATCCCACGAACGGGGCTGCAGCTTCACTGGAAACCTTTGCTGCGGCTCTTGGGAGTGGGATAGAAGAAATCTTCAGTCTCCCCAGCTAATACAACCCGGCATGCATGATATGAAGCCTGTTGGGTCAAATTAACGTCTGGGTTGAATCAACTTTCAAAACTGAAGAAAAAAGAAGAAGAAGAAAAGACGAAAGGAATCTGGCGGAAGATTGCGGATTTTAAGGGCGGTGGAAAGGGCTGCGTTAATGGATTCTGCCGCCCGCCGTATGTGAAGTGAGCGTTTCCAACTTTTCTGGAGCGCTTCTCAAGTAATGGCGATGGAATGAGACTACTAGGTGGTTCTTAACATTTACCAATTATCAGGACAGACAACTTTTTCATCTGATCTGCTAGTTGTCTGTCTATATCAGTTCTATCTAAATTCTTCCCAAGCGGAGCATGAGTGCGCTGCCTTCTCTTATCTCATACTATTAGGTGCCCTGTCTTCTCATCGTCATTATGCTTAGCCGTGCTGTACTACCTTTAACGAGGCCCGGTGTCCTTACTTCCACTATCCGCGCATCAGCTCTCTCAGTTCCGAAATCGCGATGGTACGCAAAGAGCACTAAGCCCAAGGCTCCTTATAAGCTGCCAGAATCCGTCAAGCCTTCGCAGTCCGAACAGCCCTCGTCTACTCCCAAACCAGAATACTCGGCGGAACAAACCGAGTTCGATACAAAGGCGGATCCAGCGAAGAACGCTGCGCCGGAGGCTTCTGAAGCTGTGAGTGTTCGATTTTCTATATTGTTCCAGGCTCTATCTAATTCTTGAATGCTCCGCAGCCCGAAACAAAACCTCAACAACCGCTTCCCGACCTCACCCAGGGTATTCCGTCCACTCTTGCCGCAGAATTAGAAGGTCGTACGAAGAAATATGGACAGACTTCATTGAATCTCACAGAGGACCCTTCGCGTTCCGAAGATTATACCGATGATGGCCGAGGTGATATTCCCAAGGATGGCTACGTCTCCTCGCTCGATCGCCGCAGGGCTCGTATGGCCAACTTAATGTACGCCCTTTTCCTCTTAGCCGGCGCTGGAGGAGTGGCTTACTTGGGACGGAACTGGGAGACGGAAGAAGAAGCGAAGGCCCACCCCGACATTCCGTCCGGCTGGAGCTTCTCGCTCTGGTACAACCGCATGAAGGCTCGTTTGAGCGATATCACCAGCTACTACAAGGATCCCGCTTTCCCGAAGCTGCTCCCTGATGAGGACCCTAATCTCCGCCAGCCTTACACGCTTGTCCTCAGTCTGGAGGATCTGCTTGTGCATAGTGAGTGGAGCCGTGAACACGGATGGCGCGTTGCCAAGCGGCCAGGTGTCGACTACTTCCTTCGTTACCTGAACCAGTACTACGAGCTTGTTCTCTTCACTAGTGTCCCCAGTATGATGGCAGACCAGGTTCTTCGGAAGCTCGACCCCTACCGTATCATCCGTTGGCCACTATTCAGAGAAGCTACCAGGTACAAGGATGGTGAATACATCAAGGTAGGCCAGGATAGCTCGGTTCCAGCCTATACACAGGACACAGTCATTGACCAAGCTACCTATAGGACCTGTCATACCTGAACCGCGATCTGTCCAAGGTGATCCTGATTGATACCAAGGAGGAGCATGCGCGCCTGCAGCCGGAGAATGCCATTATTCTCGACAAGTGGCTTGGTGACCCCAAGGACAAAAACCTTGTTGCACTGATTCCCTTCCTCGAATACATTGCTGGTATGGGTATCGACGATGTGCGCCCTGTATTGAAGTCATTCGAGGGTACTTCCATCCCTGTTGAATTCGCCAAGCGCGAGAAGATCATGCGTGAGAAGTTCGAAAAGGAAATGGAGGAGGAGCAGAAGAGGCGGCCCAAGCGGGGAGTGGGCAGCCTGGCATCTGCTCTGGGCTTGAAGTCTACCCGCACGCTGGACGGCGAACAGAGCCCATCCGAGGGCCTGGCTCAAGGCAAGATGCTCTGGGACCAGATCCGTGAACGAGGCCAGAAGAATTACGAGATGATTGAGAAGGAGATCCGTGAGAACGGAGAGAAGTGGCTCGCGGAGATGGCCGCGGAAGAGGAGAAGGCTCGTCAGGAACAAATGAAGATGATGAAGGGTTCCTTCACCAGCATGTTTGGTGCTGGTAAGCAGTAAAGGGATCTTTGAGGCTGTAATGCTTGACGACTCGTGAAAAACATGCTCTCCCTCCTATCGTATATTGTATATCTGTGGTCCTTGTCGTCTGGGTGAGGGGTTCATCTCTAGATGGTTCTTTGGGTTCCTGAGCATCACGGGTATTTGTAAAATAGCGGATTGGTTGATTCTTGTTGTGTATAAATTGAAGAAAACTTTTAATGCCGAGGTATCTAAGAGTTTTATAACCTCTATCCCTCTCACTCAACTCTGTAAAGGACAGAGAAGGAACAAATACTAGGCATGTTCCTTGGCTTCTCATCGCTAGGTATTGCTTGCTGCCTAAATACAAACTCAACGATGCCACATTGAGTGCTTCATTTTGGGTATAATCCAAAAACAGAGAGAAATCCACCCACGCCTCTCACTTCAGCCCAATTACACTATGCATGTATAGACTACGTGAGATTGACATCCTGAAAGACAGAGACGTCCCAAATCCCCGTCATGTCAAAGGGGAACCCGTCCATAGTCCCAAATGTCCCCGAGATAGACATCATATCGTCCACGATATCATTGTTTGTTTGGGTTTCAGGGAGCGAGACAGGGAGCGAGATGGCAGCTGGGTTCACGATACGATTGTCGTATTGACCGGTCGAAGGGTTGAGGGTCGGGTCTGCGGTGCCTCCGTTGGCGGCGAGTCGGTTGAGGATGCGTTCGCAGTGATCGAGGCACATGTCGGCGACATCCCAGTCTTCTTCTTCTCTGACGCGGCGCAGGATGCTCCGGAAAGTTTCGACGTTTGCGAGGCAGGAGCGGGCTACTTCGCTGTCTGTTGTTTCTAGGGCGCAGCGGACGAGGAGGGTGGCGGTTGATGTGAGGTGGAATGCGCTGTCTAGTAGAGGGTTAGAATTGGATGATGGCTTCAAGATCTGGGCGGGTGAGAGAATTTGTGTAAGGCGGACGTACATGGTAGCCAGAATTCTTGAAAGTTTTCCTTGCGCAGAGACGAAATAAATCGCACAATCTCCTCTGCTGATTTTCGACACTCGGTCTGGAAGTACCGACGGGCTTCTGGGTTGTCCGTCTCGGCATTATTCACCTCCTGCATTGGTGGATTAGAGCACGACGCCGGGAGCAAGCACGATCTGCGGTTCACAACGACGTACCTTGAGCTCGACTCTGCTGACCAGCATCTTGACTGCCAGGAAGGCCAACTGCAGGCTACTGATTCCTGACACGCGAGACTCTGAGCTATGGTTCACCGGTGTTCTGAGCCAGTCAGGAAGAGAGTCTTCCCACATGTCGAGGTCAGTCCGAATTTGTCGCAGCTTTTTAGTCGTCTCGCGCGGTAGGCTATGCTGCAGACCGTACACAAGCGGTAGCAACTCTCCCAGAATACCGGTCAAACGGCAAAGGCAGATGTGACAGTGGGCAGCCCTCACTCGTTCCGTGGTCCGGCACGTTGGTGGCACCAACACGTTGATGGTGGGAAGAGGAACATCGTATTGATTCTTGGCGATTTGAGGAGGGACTCCATGCCCAAAGCTTCCCCTTGATGGAAGTTAGTATCTACATCGACTAAAGGGTAGACAGGGAAGAGCTTACCAACGGTCATGGATGACAACGCCCCACCATAAACGAATACGATTGTTCTTCTCCTGTGGAGACAGCTTCCAGTTGCTAGGATCCCGGTTGAGGCCCAAGCAATGAGCTAGTGCGACAAGTCGGCCGCAACTGATGGCGTTACCCGTCATCGAAAAGATCGGACGTCCAGTCAAATCTATGAGAGCAGCGCTGATGGTTGATAGGCCAGGTGCGGAGAATTCCTCGTGGAGGGCAGCTACCGTCATGTTCACGGCATACCGAACGTCGGGTTTCGGATGGCATGCAAGCTTAGGTGTGTGCTTCCAGTAGACTAATGACATGGAGTACACTTGACAGAGAAGCGACGCCGGTGGTTCGCCTGGAGACTCTGACATATATGCTTCCCAGAAACTGTCTCCATCGAAAATCGGGAACGCTACGTTGAACCTATCCAGAAAACTGGCGACGTATGTTAGTTTATTGGAAACCATAATCCATGGCTTAGAAGAGAAACATACAGCCTGACTAGATCATGTTTGAAAGGTCCAAGAATCTGTTCAAGGATTTCCTTCTGGTTTTCCCCGGGAGGGACACCGACCCGCATACCCTGTCTCCGCCTGGAGACGGTGGTGTAGAGGATCGGTTTGCGCGGATCGCTCGAGTAGACGTTGTATGGGTGGCTCTTTGGCTCCACGGACTTGCTAGAACGCTCTTCCGGGGGCATGAACTTTTCAATCACCTGCGCATCATCGGCCACCACAGGTCCGACAATGAAGACGGACTCGTTGTGGGGGTCTTCTGTTCCATGGCGTCTGCGATCGGTTCCGCGACTATCAGAGTAGGCACGCGGCCGACTGAAACTCTCGCGCCTTCGAGATGGATTAGGAGAGGAGATGGTAGTATCAGGAGTACGTTTGCGTTTCTGTCCCGCACTCAAGCTCTCACTGACCTGGTCGACAGACCATCGTTTAGAGTCAGAGCCATTGGAGATCGAAGCGTCCGGAACGGGTTCCTCCTGATAATGACAGTCGGCACCTTGAACCCGACAGAGCAGGCATGATTGGCCGGGAATATCCACAGTGCATCGGGATTTGCGCTTTCTGCAGAGATCGCAAGCCCTGACTTTGTGCGATCTGTAAGGTCTGGCCCCGGCGTTGAAACTGGGGGAAGCATGTTTCTGCGTTGAACTATTCTGGGTAGTCGCAGGCGGCATGATGAGTCACCAAGGAATATCAGGGCAACACAAGACAGGAACTATATGTCATCAAGGGTGAAGCGCGCCAATTGAGGGTCCTACAGGCTCCACGGCTGGCGTTTGAAACAGCCGATGGAGCGGAAGGACGAGAGGGTACGGTTGCGAGGGCTGAATAATGGATAATCGGAGGCGATGCCACAAGGTAGTAGACTAGTAGTCGCGAATAGTAACGGAGTAGTAATAGCCTCAGGAGCTTGAAAGGTTGTAGTCCAATATCCTGTAGGTAATAGTTAAGGCTTCCCAGGGAGTCACTGAGCCAATCACCGGCACAGCAACTAGCGCAAAGGCGACTATGCCGACGACATCGAGGGTCAAGCCTAAATGAAGCCAAGAAATATGAACTTGACTGCTGCTAACAATTGCAAAGCCGTCCGTAGTCCTTCATGATCTGGACATGGAGTAGAAGGGGCAGAATTGGTATCGGAGTCTGCCGAATCTTCACACTTCCGGGTCAAGTAGTGTAGCAAAGGCAAGAGAGGTAACTCTGAGTCTCTCTCTCCACGAATATCCACAGAGTATCAGCCGGGCTTGACGAATGAGACTGATATGCGGGGAAGTGGCTGCAACAATCTCGACGGTGATTGATCGATTCTTGCTTTTTCTTCTTTTTTTTCCCTCTCTCTCTTTTTGGGGGTTCACTTTTCTTCTGTCATCCTCTGTTTAGCTTTTGCGCTCTCTTCCTTTCTCCTTCTAGTCTTCTCTTTCTCCTCTTTTTTCTGCCTTTTTTTTTCTTATCGGGCATGGGGATGCTGACTCAGCACACAGGCCAACCACGTGCCTCCGCTACCTATTTTTATCCCCATCAAACAAAACGCAGAACACTTACGATAGACAGACAGATAGAAGTATCGAGCAAGCGAGTTCGATCGCCAGGGTCCGATCTCCATCATCTTTCCAGTTTCCACCATCTTTAAATGAACACCTATCCACTTGGTGGAGTACATCATCGTCAGATACGATGTTTTATTCCCAATCCTCCTGACTCTGCGCGCTTCTGAAACACCTGCCAGACGCGCCCTCGAGGTAGTCTAAGTAATAGATCACCGTTGGCGTGCAGACACAGCCACAAGCACCGCTTGGTGCCCGCACTGGCGCCTTTATCCTTGCATCTTCCCCTAAAACACGTCAATGTCACTCTGCATTTTCTGCTATACACTAGTCTACTCGCTTCGTGGGGAAAGAAGATCCTCAAACCTGTCAAAAGCTGGACTGAATTTATGTGGCTACAGACATGTTCTTATTCTACCAGATGTAGATGTCTCCATGCGACTATCATGGATTATGATGTTCGGATGCCGAGCGTCGAGCGGCTAGAGGACTCCTGTCTCGTACAGGAAGAGTGTCAGTCGTGTATGAGATCCGAAAAGGAGTCTCCTGAACAGAACTCGTCGCCTTTCGGTCTTTTACCTCGCAGTGTGATTGAGCAGTAAGTGACCTGAAGTCCAGCTCGCGATGCTTTCTCAATGTCGTCGTCCATGCGTATACTCCGCGCGAGGATGAGAATGATGGTTTTGATGGTTCACATAGGATTCTATACCTTGTTGATGCCAACACTTTCGCGAGTCTCGCCTTGCTCAATCGAAAATGGAGACGCATTTCGGACTCTGCCGCAATGTACGCGCATCACTTGTCTCGATGTCCATCATTCTCCATGATGCGAGAATCTATCACCAGTGCGGCTAACCCGGAGAACTTGGCATATCTCAAACGCCGATTCTTGTCAGAGGTCAGACGAAATGCGTTCGAGGTCTTTCTCAGACCTCGTCGAACTCTGATCAAACTCATCTCAACGTCCATGAGCTCTTCAACGGCTTTCCCGCAGGGCGAGGCTTTTCGTTTTGCTTTCTCGCCCAATGCTCAGATGATCCTTTGCATCAGTTCTTCGAGGATTGTTGTCCTCGACGTAACTTCTGATTCCGCTGCCGTAAAGCATGAGCTCAAAATTTGGAGACGCCCACTCAACGCCACCATTCTCGATGACGGTTCCCTTCTTGCAGTCGTTTCTTCTGATCATCAAATCAATATCTATAGTCTAACAAACGAAGAAGCTTCGTTGATCCAAGATCTCAAGTTGACAGAAGTTCCACGAGCTTTGGCGCTGTCCCCCAACGGAGGCGTCCTGGCAGTCGCCTACAGTGACAAAATCGAAATGTACGCTATCGGGGAGGGAGCTCTCGCC